TATTGGACCTATGAGACATGCATGCTCACGATATGCCGGGAAGCACACATTCACGTGAATGATGATTTAATCCAGGGGAATGTGACGTTAGGACATTTAAGCATTGTTTTGTAACTCTTATCTTATCTTACCTCGTGCTTTGAGATTTTAAGCAAGCCATGATATGGGACTGCAGAAGTTGTCATCTTAATTCATATTTCTGCAGCATTAAGTGGAGTTTTAAGACTCATTGAAGTCAATTTTCACAACATAGGTTAAGATCCTGACACCTGATCTTAAATGTTACAGAATCAACGGTTTCCTCCGTTATTTTGACATGCTTTACACTTTTCTAACAATGTTGTCTCGCTGTCCTGACGGTCCCCTGAATACAGAAGCTTGTGCAGATTTGTTCACATCACATTTTACACACATTTTTAATTAAACTGTCCCACACGGCAGGCAGCATTCCAGAGTGGTACAAACCTCTCCACACATACTTGGTCGGGACATCTCCACCCCTCCTTCTCTCCAGATGACAACTTGATATTTAATTTTAAATCTCTTGTCTCTGTTTTTCAGACGGTCCGCTCCCTGACCCATCAATGGTTCGATCCCCTGGACCAAATCAGATGGTCAACAGAATGCAAGTCCCAGGTAAACAAACACAAGACATCATGACATATTAGTTAAATTCATCAGTTAATGGTCGGACTTAATATCTGATAAATGTCTCTGTTGGTTCAGCCGAAAAGACAGAAACATTTTTTTCACAGGAAATGTTTCCAAGGATATTATTGCCATGGTTTTTACACTGCATTGTGTTTAACACTTAACACCACGTAGTGTACATACTGTACAGCTCCATTTTAATAATACAAATGTTGCAATACAAACCACATTTCTGCACTTAGAGCCAGTTAGAAACAAAATACAATACAAGTGTGGTTTTCACATGAAATTGTTATTTTGTGTTGTTTCAATAACAATGTGTGTTTTCTCAGGAATGAATCAGTTCAGTCAGATGGGGATGCAGTCGATGGGCCAGAGGTCTCCTCTCCCCATGGGAGCGTCTGGCAACCAGGTCAGTCCTGAACACACACCTTTATCATATAGTTACGTTTTTAATGTGTCGATCAACACAATAAGGATGTCACTTAAGGAAGGTACGTTTATTTATATAGCACATTTTCAGACACAGAGGGTAATTCAAAGTGCTTTACATCAACATTAACACTTAATAGGCGCTTTCACCACCGGAGTACTTTCCCGTTTAGTTCCGATAGTTCCCTGGGATTTTGCGTTCACACCAAAAAAAGAACTTAGTTCATGAGAACTTTTCCCCCCTGCTAGAGAGCAGGTACTTTAGCCCAGCGCAGAAACCTAGAGAGACTAACTTATGGCAACACAAAATAAAACATGGGAGCGGTGGAGATGAGGAGGTGTCGGCGTTCTAGCGATTTACTCTGAAGGCTTCAGTAGAAGCTGCTGGGAGTCCCAGCAGCTTCTACTGAAGTCAGTCCCTAACTCCGGGGACTTCCGGCCGGGGACTTCGGGTGGCAGTATACGCCGTGAAGTGGTTTGCGGCCTGCCAGTAAACCCAAAGCAGAAGAAGAAGAAGAAGTGACGTCAGCGGCTTAATTTGCCTAATCCTCCCTCAGGGAACTTATCCGGTATGAACGCGATCGGCTCTTAGTTCCATGGGGGAACTAAGTACGGCAAAGTACTTGGTGTGAAAGCGGCTATAAAGAAGACAAAAGAAAGGAACTCAATAAATAAACACTATGGAATAACAGATTCTTAAGAACCATGCATAAAAGAGATGACTTCTGGGTAGGAAGCCAAAAAAAAGTACTGTTTTTAGCCTCGATTTAAAAAGAAACTCAGCGTTGGTGAAGACCTCAGGTTTTTCTGGAAGTTTGTTCCATTTAGGGGTTGCATAAAAACTAAAAGTTGACCTAAGTTGAAGTGTCTTTTCATACAGGTAGCTTCCAGGGTGTAATGTTCAAACATTTGTTGTATGTCAATCAAAATAAATGTTTGTTGTTACAAAGTAGGTTAGGAAAATGCCACTTTAACTAGTAACTATTGCATGCTAGAACAAAGTTGCATAGGCATTTTTAACCCCTGCCCTTTGATGTTCCAGATGGGAATGGTGGGACCACGGATGGGGCAGCCGAATGTGAACCAGCTGCAGAACCAGTATCTGACCCAGGGTCAGTTTCCTGGATCAGGACCAGGAGTCGGAGCAGCTCAGAGCGGGATGGCTCAACCTGGAGCTCAGGCAGGGCTGGGACAGGTGAGACGGCCTGAAGTCATTCACCTGTTAGTCAGAGAGTTATAATCAGGGGGGTGTGGCAAGGCGCACTCAGGATTAAGTCTTTTGTATAGGAAAGATTCTTAGGATACAGATGAACTAACAATCTCCATTTTTGTACATATATTGCATCATTTTTAGGTTAAAATATGATGTTGAATAGAAACAAATAAATGAAATGAGAAATTATTTTAATGAATGAAAAAAGGATGTTTAGACAGGGGGTCCGCGGGGTCTTAAAAAGTATTACAAGTTGATAAATCAATTTAGCGAAAATTAAGGCTATTAAAAAGTATTAAAGGGCATTTTCCAAGGTATGACATTTTGTAGCTTGTTTTCAATAAGTATATAAATGGTCCAAAGAGGTTGTATTCTACAGTCTGCCTGAATGTAATCATGGCGTAGGTGTGTAGTGTGATTCTGTGTAGTTTATTGATGGCATCCCGTTGGGTTTGACGTCATCTGAACAGGACATCGCACGCTCACTGCTTGATAGCGCAAAGGTCCGTTTACGCCGGTTGTTAAACAACATCGTTATGGGGAAATGCAAGTCTGCGTCCAAATGGTTGGAAGATAAGGAGGACTGTATATAGTCAATGTGAGGTAAAGTGTGTCGTCAAGGTAACCGGTTTGAACTCCAAGTGGCGATGAGGTCTTAAAATGTATGGAAAGGGTCTTAAAAAAGGTCTTAAAAGGTTTTAAATTCTACTTCAGGATTCCTGCATGTACCCTGTTAGAATACCCTAAAATATGAATCAAAATTTGAATCCGAGTCAATTCCTCCTTGTGACTTTAAATCGAATCTGTTGGCGCCCAGTATATTTGATTTTTACATAAAAATACTTCTAAAGTTACAGGATTGTAAATGCTTGTGTCAAATTTAAGTTTTTTGACCAATAAGGAACATGCAGTACAACAAACAACACAAATGGTTACTATTCCATCAGAGACCACCAGAAACGGGACTCGCTTGGATCTTTGTTGTTCTTAAACTATAACTTTTTTTGATTGACCGTCTTTCTTTGCACTCTCCCCAGACGCAGATGGGCACCCCGGTCTCGAGTCCTCTCGCTCAGCCCGGTTCAGTCGGGGGTCCCGGCAGCGTCTCCTCTGTGGGGCCTCTGGGTCCTCAGAGCGTCGGAGCGTCCTCCATGACTCCATCGAACTCAAACCAGCAGCCCAACTCCCTCCCTCACCTGGCAGCCATGCGCAGCTCGCCCTCCCCGGCCCACAGCCGCTCCCCCACTCCTCACCAGACACCCCCCAGACACCCCGGGTCCCAGACGCCGCCAGCCGCACACTCCCAACGCCCTGGGGCCCCCTTCAGCCCCCCCACAGAGCCAAGGCCCCGCCTCCAACAAGCCCCTCCAGCAGCAGCAGCACATGGGCTCCTCGGGCTCCACCACTCCCTCTCATCCGGGGTTTAGGATCCAGCTCAACGCCTCACGGGTCTCAGCTGCCACGCACTCCGGTCAGTGGGGTTTACACTTCCACATACTTATTTTTCTTCTTTAGATTCAAGATTCAAGGCTTTTATTGTCATGTGTGCATAGCTACAGTGTAGTTATGACAATGAACATCTTAGGTCACAGGCTCCTCCAACAGTGCAACATAATAAAACAGATAACAGTGCAAGTAAATAAAATGAAATAGAATATAGTAGAAATAGTGCAGAATAGTCTATATGCAAGTAATTGGAATATAAGTTGCAAACAGATGAATGTTATGGATGTTCTTTCAAAAGTCCAGGTGTTTAACGGTCTTATGTGGGATGAAGCTGTCCTTTAGTCTTGCTTGTAAAGCGCTTTGAGCACCAGGAAATAATAATAATAATGGGTTTCATTTATAAAGCACTTCATATTTGACTTCAAATCCCGAAGTGCTACAAGCATTGAGCATGGACAGTATAAAAACATTACACAACATGGTAGAATTAATAAAAAGCAAATAAAATAAAAGGGTGGAAATAAATAAAAGGTCTAGGGAAAGGCTCTTTTGAAGAGATGGGTTTTGAGGCCTTTTTTAAAAGCCTCCACGGTCTGTGGTGCTCGTGTGGTCGGGGAGAGCGTTCCACAGACTGGGAGCAGCCGAGCAGAAGGCCCGGTCTCCCATAGTACGGAGCTTAGTCCTGGGGGGTTTGAGGAAGTTGGAGTTGCTGGAGCGGTTGGTCCGCTATATAAATCACATGTATTATTATTATTATTCATACATTAAGACCAGTTTATTTTATCGCATAGATTCCAATAATTCTGTAGCAGACACTTTTAATCTGCACCCTGTCTTCCCATGGTAATGTGACTAATCAACACAATAAGTGAAATTGACTGACAGTGTTGCGGCCGTAAAACATTATGCAATATTAGTCTTTCGGGGAAATGTTTCCCCATTTAATGTATATCCACTAAAAGTGCCTTGTTTCTTGCCATCAAAAGTGTCTCACAACATTATTGAAAGGACCCTATAGAAAAAAGGAGGGTCGTTTCATTTTGCTTGCATTTTTGTAATTGTGGCTAACCCAAGTCTCGCTCTGAGGAGTCTCATTCTGTAATCTCCTGTTGCATCCACAATCTTGACATTGAAAATCTGTTAAAGGTCCCATGTCATGGCCATTTCCACTGATCATAGTTCCATTGTTGAGGTCGACTAGAATAGATTTAAATTGTGCAATTTTCCAAACTCACATTGGTTTCTCACAGCATCTCTGTAAACTACGTGTATTCACTGAATTTCACTCTCTGCCTTTAACGGCTCGTTGTAGCTCCAATAGCTCCAGCCCCCACCCTCCCTGTGAGCACAGTGTGCTCTGATTGGTCGGGACGCTGTGAATCGCGCTGTGAATCGCGCTGAGCTCCGTGGAGGTGTGGTTTCCTTGTTTAGCGAAACACAGCCAAACTCATCCTGAGCACACACAAAGTCACAGCCGAAGTAAAAACAATAAGTGTGGCTTGAGTATTGGAGGAAAGAAAAGGTTGATAAACGCTGTGAGAATGGGTCCGTGATCCCAACTGTCTGTTATCAGCCTGCAGCCAGGGAGGGAGTGTGTGGTGTGTGTGTGTGTGTGTGTGTTGTGTGTGTGTGTGGGTTGTGTGTGTGGTGTTGTGTGTGTGGTTGTTGGTGGTTGTGTGTTGTGTGTTGTTGTGTGTGGTGGTGTGTGTGTGGTTTGATGTGTGTGTGTGTGTGGTGTGTGTGTGTGTGTGTGTGTGTGTGGGTGGTGTAGTGTGTGGTGTGTGTGTGTGGGTGTGTGTGTGTGTGTGTGTGTGTGTGTGTGTGTGTGTGTTTGGTGTGTGTGTGTGTGGTGTGTGTGGTGTGTGGTGTGTGTGTGGTGTGTGTGTGTGTGAGTGTGTGTAATGTGTGTGTGTGTGTGTGTGTGTGTGTGTGTGTGTGTGTGTGTGTGTGTGTTGTGTGTGTGTGTGTGTGTGTGTGTGTGTGTGTGTGTGTGTGTGTGTGGTGTGTGTGTGTGTGTGTGTGGTGTGTGTGTGTGTGTGTGTGTGTGTGGTGTCCCTTTGGACCAAACAGCGGGGGCTTAACGTAACGGCTCCACGGATTGGTTCCGGGTAACGCATGACCGTATCACGTCATAGCTCTGGGCGCGGCTACTGGCCATTCCTACGTCAAAGTACCCAGGAAGTAAACAATGGACAATGACTTCTCTCCATCGAGGCGTTCTGGGGCAGCACAGACAGGTCTTCTCTGTGTTAGAGTTTTACTCGCTACAGGGTGTACTTTGAGGGTTTTGACTCTGCAGACCGTTTACATGCAGAACAACCTTCATAACAACAAGGGGACGGGTGATAACCGGAAAAGCATGACATGGGACCTTTTAAATAACGCTAACAAAGTTTTATTTCTCTGAAGGCTCCTTTGAACAATCTTGTAAAACGCTTATAATTCCAATCTGAGCCGGTCAATAGCAAACAAAGTCACATTTTTCGGACATACATTAAAGGTGTGCAGTTGCGCCAAATGATTACATTGCAGCCCAAATTGAGGATGTCCTCTGCAGGGTTGTCCTTCAATACTGGACTCATTATGACCCAACTTGACACAACTATACGATGATGACATGAAGATAAGATCATGTCAGGGTCACGTCAGGTCAAGGTTTCAAACCCTATTGATAAAAGGGTTATTTTAATCTGCTTTTTCCTCATATAGCACTTATCATGGGACTTAACATTTGACTGTATCCTCAGTTATGATCCAGCTTTATAATTTGTGTTAAAGTTTGTCCAATGCTTCACTTAACGTTAATCTACTTGTATCTTGTCAAAGCATCCTGTCCTTTAATATCTCTGATTCCCTGTTTCCATGCATCTGAGTTTTGATCCTATGTCTCCTCTCTCTAGTTGTCCCAGAAGGGTTCATTCCACGCAGACAATCAGGCGCTGACCCCGGCCTCCGTCAGCAGCTTGGACGCTTCCTCACAGCAGCCGCAGTCCAACGCTTCCACCGCCAACCACGACTCCAAGATGGAGATCAAGCAGCAGCAGGACGAGGAGGAGGAGGAGAGCGACAGTGGCAGCTGCTCCAAGGGAGGGAAGCTCAGCAACATGAAAACTGAGGAGAAGCCTGTGAAGCTGGAGGTGAAAAAGGAGGAGTGCTCCGGAGAGGGAGGCAAAGGGCTTCCCATGGAATCATCATCGACGACTAAAACGACGACGACGATGGTGAGCGTTAAGACGGAAGATAGGAAACCGGAAATAAAGACGGAGGTGAAGGATGAAGAGGAGACGTCGGATTCAGCTTCAGCTCAGACTGCAGCCAAAAAGAAGAGTGAGTTTCCCTTCTGAGCTAAAATGCAATTTTTAAACATCTCCTAGCACAGGGCTATGCAATTGGCGGCCCGTGGGCCAAATCCGTCCCGGGGTGATATTTACTGGCCCTTTGAGTATAATCTTAAAAGTAATCTACTTTTTTTGTTTTTTTAAAGAATTTGTTTTTTTAAGATTTTTTTTGGGGCCAGAGTGACTTTATTCCAGAGAGGGTGTTAAATTGAGGGATAGAGGGGAAGACATTGCCTGAAAACTTCGGCGAGCTCGGGTTTCAAATCCACCTACTAGCTACTGTAGAGACAACCCACCTACTAGCTACTGTAGTGACAACCCACCTACTAGCTACTGTAGTGACAACCCACCTACTAGCTACTGTAGTGACAACCCACCTACTAGCTACTGTAGAGACAACCCACCTACTAGCTACTGTAGTGACAACCCACCTACTAGCTACTGTAGTGACAACTCACCTACTAGCTACTGTAGTGACAACCCACCTACTAGCTACTGTAGTGACAACCCACCTACTAGCTACTGTAGTGACAACCCACCTACTAGCTACTGTAGTGACAACTCACCCACTAGCTACTGTAGTGACAACTCACCTACTAGCTACTGTAGTGACAACCCACCTACTAGCTACTGTAGTGACAACCCACCTACTAGGTACTATAGTGACAACCCACCTACTAGCTACTGTAGTGACAACCCACCTACTAGCTACTGTAGTGACAACCCCACCTACTAGGTACTATAGTGACAACCCACCTACTAGCTACTGTAGTGACAACCCACCTACTAGCTACTGTAGTGACAACCCACCTACTAGCTACTGTAGTGACAACCCACCTACTAGCTACTGTAGTGACAACCCACCTACTAGGTACTATAGTGACAACCCACCTACTAGCTACTGTAGTGACAACCCACCTACTAGCTACTGTAGTGACAACCCACCTACTAGCTACTGTAGTGACAACCCACCTACTAGCTACTGTAGAGACAACCCACCTACAAGCTACTGTAGTGACAACCCACCTACTAGCTACTGTAGTGACAACCCACCAACTAGCTACTGTAGTGACAACCCACCTACTAGCTACTGTAGTGACAACCCACCTACTAGCTACTGTAGAGACAACCCACCTACTAGCTACTGTAGTGACAACCCACCTACTAGCTACTGTAGTGACAACCCACCAACTAGCTACTGTAGTGACAACCCACCTACTAGCTACTATAGTGACAACCCACCTACTAGCTACTGTAGAGACAACCCACCTACTAGCTACTGTAGTGACAACCCACCTACTAGCTACTGTAGTGACAACCCACCTACTAGCTCCTGTAGTGACAACCCACCTACTAGCTACTGTAGTGACAACCCACCTACTAGCTACTGTAGTGACAACCCACCTACTAGCTACTGTAGTGACAACTCACCTACTAGCTACTGTAGTGACAACCCACCTACTAGCTACTGTAGAGACAACCCACCTACTAGCTACTGTAGAGACAACCCACCTACTAGCTACTGTAGTGACAACCCACCTACTAGCTACTGTAGTGACAACCCACCTACTAGCTCCTGTAGTGACAACCCACCTACTAGCTACTGTAGTGACAACCCACCTACTAGCTACTGTAGTGACAACCCACCTGCTAGCTACTGTAGTGACAACCCACCTACTAGCTACTGTAGTGACAACCCACCTACTAGCTACTGTAGTGACAACCCACCAACTAGCTCCTGTAGTGACAACCCACCTACTAGCTACTGTAGTGACAACCCACCAACTAGCTCCTGTAGTGACAACCCACCTACTAGCTCCTGTAGTGACAACCCACCTACTAGCTACTGTAGTGACAACCCACCTACTAGCTACTGTAGTGACAACTCACCTACTAGCTACTGTAGTGACAACTCACCTACTAGCTACTGTAGTGACAACCCACCTACTAGCTACTGTAGTGACAACCCACCTACTAGGTACTATAGTGACAACCCACCTACTAGCTACTGTAGTGACAACCCACCTACTAGCTACTGTAGTGACAACCCACCTACTAGGTACTATAGTGACAACCCACCTACTAGCTACTGTAGTGACAACCCACCTACTAGCTACTGTAGTGACAACCCACCTACTAGCTACTGTAGTGACAACCCACCCTACTAGGTACTATAGTGACAACCCACCTACTAGCTACTGTAGTGACAACCCACCTACTAGCTACTGTAGTGACAACCCACCTACTAGCTACTGTAGTGACAACCCACCTACTAGCTACTGTAGTGACAACCCACCTACTAGCTACTGTAGAGACAACCCACCTACTAGCTACTGTAGTGACAACCCACCTACTAGGTACTATAGTGACAACCCACCTACTAGCTACTGTAGAGACAACCCACCTACTAGCTACTGTAGTGACAACCCACCTACTAGCTACTGTAGTGACAACCCACCTACTAGCTCCTGTAGTGACAACCCACCTACTAGCTACTGTAGTGACAACCCACCTACTAGCTACTGTAGTGACAACCCACCTACTAGCTTACTGTAGTGACAACTCACCTACTAGCTACGTAGTGACAACCCACCTACTAGCTACTGTAGTGACAACCCACCTACTAGCTACTGTAGTGACAACCCACTACTAGCTACTGTAGAGACAACCCACCTACTAGCTACTGTAGTGACAACCCACCTACTAGCTCCTGTAGTGACAACCCACCTACTAGCTACTGTAGTGACAACCCACCTACTAGCTACTGTAGTGACAACCCACCTGCTAGCTACTGTAGTGACAACTCACCTACTAGCTACTGTAGTGACAACCCACCTACTAGCTACTGTAGTGACAACCCACCAACTAGCTCCTGTAGTGACAACCCACCTACTAGCTACTGTAGTGACAACCCACCAACTAGCTCCTGTAGTGACAACCCACCTACTAGCTCCTGTAGTGACAACCCACCAACTAGCTACTGTAGTGACAACCCACCTACTAGCTACTGTAGTGACAACCCACCAACTAGCTCCTGTAGTGACAACCCACCTACTAGCTACTGTAGTGACAACCCACCAACTAGCTCCTGTAGTGACAACCCACCTACTAGCTACTGTAGTGACAACCCACCTACTAGCTACTGTAGTGACAACCCACCTACTAGCTACTGTAGTGACAACCCACCTACTAGCTCCTGTAGTGACAACCCACCTACTAGCTACTGTAGTGACAACCCACCTACTAGCTACTGTAGAGACAACCCACCTACTAGCTACTGTAGTGACAACCCACCTACTAGGTACTGTAGTGACAACCCACCTACTAGCTACTGTAGTGACAACCCACCTACTAGCTCCTGTAGTGACAACCCACCTACTAGCTACTGTAGTGACAACCCACCTACTAGCTACTGTAGTGACAACCCACCTACTACTACTCCTGTAGTGACAACCCACCTACTAGCTACTGTAGTGACAACTCACCTACTAGCTACTGTAGTGACAACCCACCTACTAGCTACGGTAGTGACAACCCACCTACTAGCTACTGTAGAGACAACTCACCTACTAGCTACTGTAGAGACAACCCACCTACTAGCTACTGTAGTGACAACCCACCTACTAGCTACTGTAGTGACAACCCACCTACTAGCTACTGTAGAGACAACCCACCTACTAGCTACGGTAGAGACAACTCACCTACTAGTTACTGTAGAGACAACCCACCTACTAGCTACTGTAGTGACAACCCACCCACTAGCTACTGTAGTGACAACCCACCCACTAGCTACTGTAGTGACAACCCACCTACTAGCTACTGTAGTGACAACCCACCTACTAGCTACTGTAGAGACAACCCACCTACTAGCTACTGTAGAGACAACCCACCTACTAGCTACTGTAGTGACAACCCACCTACTAGCTACTGTAGTGACAACCCACCTACTAGCTACTGTAGTGACAACCCACCTACTAGCTACTGTAGAGACAACCCACCTACTAGCTACTGTAGAGACAACCCACCTACTAGCTACTGTAGTGACAACCCACCTACTAGCTACTGTAGAGACAACCCACCTACTAGCTACTGTAGTGACAACCCACCTACTAGCTACTGTAGTGACAACCCACCTACTAGCTACTGTAGTGACAACCCACCTACTAGCTACTGTAGAGACAACCCACCTACTAGCTACTGTAGTGACAACCCACCTACTAGCTCCTGTAGAGACAACCCACCTACTAGGTACTGTAGTGACAACCCACCTACTAGCTACTGTAGAGACAACCCACCTACTAGCTCCTGTAGTGACAACCCACCTACTAGCTCCTGTAGAGACAACCCACCTACTAGCTCCTGTAGTGACAACCCACCTACTAGCTACTGTAGAGACAACCCACCTACTAGCTACTGTAGCGACAACCCACCTACTAGCTACTGTAGAGACAACCCACCTACTAGCTCCTGTAGTGACAACCCACCTACTAGCTCCTGTAGAGACAACCCACCTACTAGGTACTGTAGTGACAACCCACCTACTAGCTACTGTAGAGACAACCCACCTACTAGCTCCTGTAGTGACAACCCACCTACTAGCTCCTGTAGAGACAACCCACCTACTAGGTACTGTAGTGACAACCCACCTACTAGCTACTGTAGTGACAACTCACCTACTAGCTCCTGTAGTGACAACCCACCTACTAGCTACTGTAGTGACAACCCACCTACTAGCTACTGTAGAGACAACTCAACTACTAGCTACTGTAGAGACAACCCACCTACTAGCTACTGTAGTGACAACCCACCTACTAGCTACTGTAGTGACAACTCACCTACTAGCTACTGTAGTGACAACCCACCTACTAGCTACTGTAGTGACAACCCACCTACTAGCTACTGTAGTGACAACTCACCTACTAGCTCCTGTAGTGACAACCCACCTACTAGCTACTGTAGTGACAACCCACCTACTAGCTACTGTAGAGACAACTCAACTACTAGCTACTGTAGAGACAACCCACCTACTAGCTCCTGTAGTGACAACCCACCTACTAGCTACTGTAGTGACAACCCACCTACTAGCTACTGTAGTGACAACCCACCTACTAGCTACTGTAGAGACAACCCACCTACTAGCTACTGTAGAGACAACCCACCTACTAGCTACTGTAGTGACAACCCACCTACTAGCTCCTGTAGTGACAACCCACCTACTAGCTACTGTAGAGACAACCCACCTACTAGCTACTGTAGTGACAACCCACCTACTAGCTACTGTAGAGACAACCCACCTACTAGCTACTGTAGTGACAACCCACCTAATAGCTACTGTAGTGACAAACTGTCATGTATTGCATCTCTGCGTGAATGATTAGATCATTTCACCTAAATTAAATCAAATGAAATGATGTTGATGGTTAAATTAGCTTCACATGTAGGCCTACTGAGTTCTGAACTTGCCATTTAGATCTCTAAAGGCCTTGGGGCTATGTTGTTTGATTTACTTAAACACAATACATGCACTCCACTATGCTGTTGTAGTATTTACTGTATCTGAAGCTCTTAATATGATTGCTCATATCTCAAGCCATCTTTTTCCCGGCGCCTTGCTTTGGATCATTTTCATCAACCGGCCCCATTCCAAACTAATTGAATAGCGCTGTTGTACAGGCTTCGATATGTGTTGCCCTGAGCTACAGTGTAGAAATGGCAGGGCTCGACATTATAAATGGCCCGCTGGCCCGGAAGCACTATTTAGACACCCCGGGCAGCATAACGTACTTTCCACTTGCCCGCTCGGGCCACTAAAAATATTGTTTAAAATTTTTTTTTTCCTGTGGTATTGGTATTTTAACTAGCAATTTTGTTAAATTGTTTCGTTAATTAACGCTACAACATAGCGTTTCGTGAGTCGCTTGTCGTTGTTGGGTGAAAAGCAAACAGCTGTTTGCTGCGGAGCACAGCGTGAGCAGGCTCCCGTGAGCGGGAGTGCGCTCCTTCACTACAGACTATCGCGCCACCTAACCATTCGCCAAAATGTTTTTAATACCAGCGGTAACCGGACAAGCGCCGGGCAAAAAACAATCTTCAAATAAAAGAAAGTCACCGGAGGAGTTAAAGGAGAGTGACAGGGAGCATGAGAAGAAGAGGGAGAGAAAGTTTCAGCTTGATCGATGGAGTTGGCTTCTAGTGGTGCAGTGACGCGTCCTAAAACCCTTTTATAATCTATCGTTTAGATTTATGATTAGAAAATTATAAAAGTAGGAGACATGTGGAGATTATCCGGCTGAACAAAACGTGCATTTATCAAACAGGTTTGTTTTCCACAGACCTTATTTCCAGCTATTTTCCAAAACCCTGTGGAGAAATCCCATTGCTCTTTTGTCGAGGGAACCAGCAGCTTACTTCCTGGTTTTAGGACACGTCACTGCACCTCTCAATATGATGCCAATATAAACAAGGTCTTCTGTCGGCTCTGTACATCAATGCCGACCTATGCTGACAAGTAAGTGAAGAGTAGACAATATAAAGTTATTGGCTATAGGGAAATGTCCCAGCAGTTTAGGATAATGAAGGATCTAATCTAATATAGCCATTACATTTCTAACTCCTGATGACAGGAAGGCAGAAAGTGCATTATACAAATAATAATACTCATAATAATAGCAGACATTTTTTAACAATGACCACAATATCATTATTTTAATAAACCAAATATGAACAATTGAGGAAAATGAGGAAGAACTGATTGTTCAAATGTTGTAGGGAAACTTCTGTAGCAATGGAGAGTCAGGACTCAGAGACACACGGGACGAGCAGGAGTTCTGATGTCAAACACTGGCAGTTTATTGCAAGCGTCGGCCGGAGAATTCATATCACAAATCACAGCAGCAGAAAGTTCTGACTGCACCGGTGGGTTGCCATGTCAATTCTGAATCCCTTCTCATCTTGGCAGACCTTTAATTCGCTTCACTCAGTCAACTCACATATTGGGGGAAGGTGTAGTGACCACCTGGAGGTACTGAATTACTTACTTGACTTTATGGCTCTTGTGACCGAGAGTTGACCGGTCATAAAACTCATACTGTCAGTAATAGGTGAAACTTCCCATTCCTTAAGACAGATAACAGACGTCGGCTTCTTCGTAAACGTCAACAGGCCGAAAGGTCAGAAATCTTAAGTAAAGACAAAATTAATCCCTCACAGTAGTAATGTAGTTAGTGCATAAATTACTATTGCAACAAATGTGTTAATTTTCTTCATTATAAGTCGATTTTTTTTGGACGAATGCCAGTGGTTACAATGGTGGGGCCAGTGACAATACAATTCCACCGGCTCGGAGGGCCAGTGGCTTTTTACCCTTAATGTCTACCCCTGAATGGTAGTGAAAATCTTCTGACCTGAGCTTCTCCCACATATATAACATATATCATAAAATACAAAAACATAAAATAGTGCAAAAAGATACATGTAAATAGAATATGATATGTACAAGAACAGAATATTAAATAATGTACATTAAGATCAAATCAAATACGGTTTATTGCAGTGATAACTATTTATATATAAATAAGTAGGTTTTAAGAGGGGGAAGCGAAGCAGGGAAACGTTTTCTGATTTCTCTTTAATCTAATTCTTCTCCTAATCTCTCTTACCTCCAGTCTTTAAGCCAGAGGAGCTCCGCCAGGCTCTGATGCCGACGCTGGAGTCTCTGTACCGACAGGATCCAGAGTCTCTGCCCTTCAGGATGCCTGTGGACCCTCTGCTGCTCTGCATACCTGTACGTATCCCTTGCTGGACCTCAGATTAATTATATTCCTTGTGTATAAACTGCTCTGTCCCTGTGCATGTGTGGTCTGCTGCTCACGTGCTTAGTTGTTTTACAGGGTGTCCGCGGGGTCTTAAAAAGTATTACAAGTTGATCAATCAATGTAGCGAAAATGAAAGCTATTAAAAAGTATTAAATGGCATTTTCCAAGGTATTACATTTTGTAGCTTGTTTCCAATAAGTATATAAATGGTCCAAAGAGGTTGTGTTCTACAGTGTGCCTGAATGTAATCATTGCGTAGGTGTGTAGTGATTCTGTGTAGTTTATTGATGGCATCCCGTTGGGTTTGACGTCATCTGAACAGGACATCGCACGCTCACTGCTTGATAGCGCACGAAAGGTCCGTTTACGCCGGTTGCTAAGCAACATCGTTATGGGGAAATGCAAGTCTGCGTCCAAATGGTTGGAAGATAAGGAGGAAGGACAATCAATACTGAATATAGTGAATGTGAGGTAAAGTGTGTCGCCAAGGTAACCGGTTAGAACTCCAAGTGGCGATGAGGTCTTAAAATGTATGGAAAGGGTCTTAAAAAAGGTCTTAAAATGTATTACATTCAACTTCAGGATTCCTGCACATACCCTGGAACTGTAATTGACAAACATCTTTATAACTTGTCTTTCACCGCATGTTGAAATTCAATTGTACATTGACTGATTACATAGTTATAAAGAACTGCGCCAAGTTACAGGACCTCACTCTAACAAATCTCAAAAAAGTAATCTTCTAGGTCCTGTGTGTGTGTGTGTGTGTGTGTGTGTGTGTGTGTGTGTGTGTGTGTGTGTGTGTGTGTGTGTGTGTGTGTGTGTGTGTGTGTGTGTGTGTGGTGTGTGTGTGTGTGTGTGTGTGTGTGTGTGTGTGTGTGTGTGTGTGTGTGTGTGTGTGTGTGTGTGTGTGTGTGTGTGTGTGTGTGTGTGTGTGTGTGTGTGTGTGTGTGTGTGTGTGTGTGTGTGTGTGTGTGTGTGTGTGTGTGTGTGTGTGTGTGTGTGTGTGTTGTGTGTGTGTGTGTGTGTGTGTGTGTGTGTGTGTGTGTGTGTGTGTGTGTGTGTGTGTGTGTGTGTGTGTGTGTGTGTGTGTGTGTGTGTGTGTGTGTGTGTGTGTGTGTGTTGTGGTGTGGTGTGTTCAATTTAATCACATGGCACTTTGTTGTGTCTTGCAGGACTACTTTGATATTGTGAAGAATCCCATGGACTTATCTACTATCAAGCGGAAACTGGATACAGGTTAGTACTTACTGGAAACAAAATAGACATCAAATATGAAAAGATAAATCAAATTGTGGATACATTTGGTGAAGTGATATGGAGTTAAAATATAATTTAAAATATAATTTAATGCTGTGTTAAAAAATAAGTGTTTTCTCTGACATGATCTTTTGTTTTTGTGTCGCAGGTCAGTACCAGGAGCCGTGGCAGTACGTAGACGACATCTGGGTGATGTTCAACAACGCCTGGCTCTACAACCGCAAAACATCTCGAGTCTACAAGTACTGCTCCAAGCTGGCCGAGGTGTTCGAGCAGGAGATCGACCCGGTGATGCAGAGCCTCGGATACTGCTGCGGGAGGAAGGTGAGGCGGGAGAGAAGGAGGGAGGACTGGAGGGAAATGTGTGTTAGGGAGGCGCAGTAATTATACAAATCAAGGAGAAAGTATGGAAATTGGAGTTAACCAGTTCAGGCCTCAGGCTCGAAAATGACATTCCCAGAACAAATGACTATATCTTCACTTCTAAAAGGGGTAAATTAATAATCTTTTTTCTCAAAGCAAGGATAAACCTGTGAGTTGGATGTAGAAAAGTCAGAATCAATATAGATGTTTTTTATTTTAAAGTAAATTCAGATTGAACATAGTAAAACAATGTAAATTATAGTGTCCGTCCAAAAAAAACACATTACTTATAGTGAAAACCACCCTTGAATGATGGGATAGTAGATTAAAAGCTTTAGGAATCCAAACTATAACATATAATAAGTACCCTGTATCAAGATTGATGCAAAACAAGTGAAATTTGACCTTTTTAGAGAGGTTTAGCAAAAAAAACACTTCTGGGGTCATTTGGCTACTTTGCTTTGTCTCATTGTCAGGAGTAACCTTTCAGCTAACCTCTCATTATTAAAGGCCAATCACTTTTGTTATTTGTCTGCTAAAACCAAGAATAGCAAAGTCTAATAAGAGCTGAAATGTGATATGGCGTTGGAATGCCAAAAGCCAAATTTAGCATCGAACACACTTCGCTGCTTCCACTTTCAGACGTGAACGATTGGGAGTCAATTTCTGACACACACACACACATTCTCAGCGTAAATAACTCACAGGAATTTCTGTTCACCTCGAGGGAAGATTACATGCCGAGCATCAGGATAAACTACCAAGATTTAGCTTCAAAATGGATTCATCTGCCGAACATTTTAATCAATTAATTTGTCTATAAAATGTATAAAAATTGTGAAAAGAGTTCATCCCAGTTCACAAAGACCAACATTATGGCTTTAAATGTCTTGTTTTGTCAATACGGACGTCAGTTAAGTATGATATAGAACAAAGATAAGTAGGAAATCTCCACATTTATCTCCATAAAACTGTCATTTTTGCACAAATATGTTAAGCTTCATAACTCATAGTTTATCAGAAAAGTTGCCGATTTATTTTTCTGTTGATCAACTAATGAATTAGCCGACTAACCGTTGCAGCTCAATCTAAATAAAACCGTCTTTCAACGTACTCAAACTTTATCTGAAGTTCAAAATAGTGAGAAGTGTTCATCCAAGTTCACTAAGAACAAGGTGATCGCTTTAAATGTCTTGTTCTGTCAGTAAAAAGCCTTAAAATGTGTCAGTTAAATATGATAAGCAGGAAATCTCCACATTTATCTCCATTTTTGCACAAATATGTTTAACTTTCCAACTGATAGATTATCAAAAGAGTTGCGGATTCTTTTTTCTGTTGATCCTCTAGAGCAGGGGGGTCAAACTCAAATACACAGTGGGCCAAAATTAAAAAATGGGTACTCGTCGAGGGCCGGACTGGTTCAATGTTTATTGCAGAACTTATTGAAATGAACTTATTGCACATATTAAACCTGGAACTAACAAAGCTTCAATGATTGCCTATAAAAACAACATTAAACATTAAATAATCAGTTGCATTCATTTCTTATGGCTCTATCTGCAGCTTTTCCAGAGTCATTTCTTATGATTACATTTTCCCACAGGCCAACAACAGCTTCAACAAAACTATTCCCCTCAAAGAGAAAACCAAACATGCCCTGTTGTCCTGAGAGAGAAAGTGCAGAAGGAAACATCCATTGAACTCAGTGTGCTGCTCTGTGATGCTAGCTCAGATACTTGGCATCTCATCTTGGGTGCAAGGTCATCAATGTTTGGGCTCAGGCTCTGAGCGGAGGAGACCCTCAGGATGGAGTGAAGGTGTGCGTGCAATATACCGGCGGGCCAGATCTAATAGTGATTAGAAATGATCCTGCGGGCCGAAATTAAATCCACCATGGGCCTGATTTGGCCCCCGGGCCTTGAGTTTGACACATGTGTTTTAATAAAGCAATTATTATTATAGAATACTATATTGTACAACTGTCCCTTTTTATAAAGTGGCCAATTGGTGTATGCACTGTATATGAATATGTAATATACAAGAGCTGTGAGGTTATGAAAAAGCTTGGAAATGCACCTCGAAAATGGTTGAAAAAGTGCTTAAGTTTGACGTAAAACCTTGTCTTTTTCATATTGTGTGTGTTGCCAATTGAGCTGAGGTGGCTGTAAGTTAAAAGTGTTAATGTTCAAGAGATTAACAATTTATTTATCCTGTTTTGTTTTGTTTCTGTCCCTCAGCTGGAGTTCTCCCCTCAGACACTTTGCTGCTACGGAAAGCAGCTGTGCACTATTCCCAGAGACGCTGCTTACTTCAGCTACCAGAACAGGTATGAAAGGCAACGTAATGAAGGGTGGAAACGGCTAATATGGAAGCATGTTTGAATAAAAGAGGAAATGATAATGATATGAGAGATGCATTGGGTGTTCATCGGATTAACTCTGTGTCCCCGAACGCTTCCCTTCACTTCATGTTTGCCTGTTTTTAGACCTCCATGTGGTGCCTAATGGCATTTTAACAATGGGTCCTCTCTTCTCACATTCCTTAAGTTGTTCTTGGTGTCTTAAAGCTAATCTATAAACAACACCTCAGCACAGAATGTTTGAAAAAGTTGAATTTGAACTCACTTAGTGCACAGTGAATGGAATTTGTATCGTAGGAATAAGGCAAAAGTCTTAAAGGGACAGCACCTAAAATAAAAATAAAAAACACACCTTTTCTTTTTGGTCTTACTTGTAGTTCGTTTGATCAATTTAGATATTTTTGGTGTGAGTTGCTGAGTCTCGTCTCTTAAAGATAAATGAACTAGAAGGCACTTTGCACGTGGTTCTTTATTATAATTAAAATAAAGCTTCGCAACAATTGAATTACACAGACATTGCTCGTATGGATATAAACGGTAATGACACGGCAGAAAAGCCACGAGTCACCTTCCCTTCAGGCCTTACCTAAGCCCACCTGTAGCCGGTTATACAACGTTATAACAGGCCATCATGTTCATTTACCTCTGGGAGGCCGAAAAACCTTATCTCAAATCAATATTTTATTATTGCAGCAGTCGACGAATCACACCAAAACTATCTCGATTGATAAACATCACTACCGGGTAAGAGGAAAACTATTTTAAATCCGTCCCTTGAGTTATTTTTAACACTCTTTCAACGTTATTTTTTATCATCCCGTCAAGTTTTGTACACGTTTATGAGTTGAATGTGAAAGGACCAACGTTAAAATGCTTGAATGAGTGAACAGCAGCTGTCTTTATTCACCTGTTCACACCTGTCTAGTGTCTGCATACCTGCCTCCCTGCTGTGTTAGCTAATGCTGCTACAATTACCTCGTTCTGTGTTTAGCTAATGCTGCTAACGTTTAGCCCCTTCTGTGTTTAGCTAATGCTGCTAACGTTTAGTTCCTGTTTAGCTGCTTTTTGTTGCTGTTCATCCGTCTCATGTCCAAATTGCTAATCTTTGCTCCTCGGCTTTCTGCTGTGTGCTTCATTCCTCCTGTGTGTGTGTGTGTGTGTGTGTGTGTGTGTGTGTGTGTGTGTGTGTGTGTGTGTGTGTGTGTGTGTGTGTGTGTGTGTGTGTGTGTGTGTGTGTCCTACCTCTCCATGGCTGTGGTGTCAACATTGGCTTGCTTTTGCCTTGAACAACCATACACTCCCTCCTCACCCTCTCAAAAATCTGGCTGTTTTTGATGACGACTTCCTGCTGTCCTGCGCTCCCACTTCCTGTTGTGGCATCCTTCCCTTTGCCATGCCCTCCCTCCCTCCCACCGTCTGTGATTGACTGATTGCTACGGGACACGGTGTAGATCAAAAACATTTGGGCTTATTGCTAACAGGTACCACTTCTGTGAGAAATGCTTCAATGAGATCCAGGGGGACACGGTTTCCCTCGGCGACGATCCCACCCAGCCTCAGACGTGAGTATTAGAGTTTATAACAGAACGCTTTGTCCCATGATACCGAGGGGCACCTTCTTCCTCCTTACAGATACTACTTCTTTGCATTAGTGCTACAATAGGCGCGTTCACACCAGAGTACTTTCCCCCGTACTTCTCTCGTTTAGTTCCGTTAGTACCCCTTATGTCGCGTTCACACCAAAAAGAGTACTTAGTGCCGGGAACTTTTACCCCCATTTTTAGTGCCTGCTGAGAGGTGGTACTCTCTTGGGGGAAAAAAAGTGCCCCAGTTATGATTGGCTGGGCGAATTGCAAACCACGCCCCGTAAAACTCGGAAATGTTTTGTCGAGCCGCCATTTTATTATCCTCGCATTAGCATTATTAGCATTAGCATTCTCCCAGCACACAAACGCAGAGAGACTAACTTATGGCAATTTACTCGGAAGCCAGTCCCCAACTCCGGGGACTTTCGGCTGGGGACTTCCGGCCGGGGACTTCGGGTGGCAGTATACGCCGTGAAGTTGTTTGCGGCCTGCCAGTAAACCCAAAGCAGAAGACGAAGTGACGTCAGCGGCTCATTTGCGTAATCTTCCCTCAGGGAACTTATTCCGGTGTGAACGCGATCTGCTCTTAGTTCCATAGGGGAACTAAGTTCTGGGAACTAAGTACGGCAAAATACTTGGTGTGAACGCGGCTAATGTTGTGTCATGCTATAGAAATATATATATATTTGCTTAACTGGTGTTTTGTCACAGTATTTAGCAAATACATGACTAAGGTATTAGTGAATCAATTAATTAGTGGGCTGATGAGATGATCAATACTGTCGAATGTGTTTTTTATGTGTTTTAAATTCAGAACAATCTTAATCAAGACAGTGCAATCCCACATGCAGAGTGACAAACATAAGTTATTTTACCTTAAACTTTTAAGCGAAATAGTCCTTGACCCTTAGTATTTTTCGTTATCGTAAATTTGGTCTTAGATTTCGTTCTGTGTGGTATTTTTCAAAAGTCTTAAATCTAACTTGCTTCCACTGTTGTATCTTCCAATTAATCCTTGAATTAAATCCTCAATTTGAATTTGAATAATACAAGTATTTATGGTATTAAGTGAGTTATTCTTAACTTTCTTTAATTAATAGAATTTGCCAGTGATTTCAACAGAAATACCCATAAACTAGATGAAAAATATGCATAGAATTTTTGTATTATGCTTACATATATTACATTACATTTAGCTGACGCTTTTTTTTCCAAAGCGACTTACAATAAGTGCATTCGACCAAGAAGATACAAACTTGAAGAAAACAGAATCATATAAGTACATCAGGTTTCATAGAGCCAAAACATTTCAAGTGCTACTCAACAGGCTTTAGATAAGCCAGTGCTTTGTTAGTATATAAGTGCTTTGTTAGTATATGAGTGCTTTGTTAGTATATAAGTGCTTTGTTAGTATATAAGTGCTTAGTTAGTATATAAGTGGTTAGTATATAAGTGCTTTGTTAGTATATGAGTGCTTTGTAACGGCCCGTCCACACAGCGGCGTGCGTTGAAGCTTCCAACGCTTCTGCCCATTCACTTTGAATGGGGTGACGTCACTTTTAGCCGAACTGCATCGTGGGAAGCGACGTGGAGCGTTGCTGGCGTTGCTCGCGGCAAAAGTTGAGCAATGTTCAACTTTTGACGCCTCGCCAATCGAATCATATGCCAGTACAAGCTCTATCCAATCAAACCGCTGCTTGTGTGTCAGGGGCGGGAGATTCATGTGATTGGTTGTTGGTCGAGTGTCAGACACGCCCGCCGGCAAGCGTCAACGCACGCCGCTGTGTGGACGGGCCGTTAGTATATGAGTGCTTTTTTAGTATATAAGTGCTTAGTTAGTATATAAGTGGTTAGTATATGAGTGCTTAGTTAGTATATGAGTGCTTAGTTAGTATATGAGTGCTTTGTTAGTATATGAGTGCTTTGTTAGTGTAAGGGAAACTTCTGCAGCAATGGAGAGTCAGGACTCAGAGAGACACGAGGAGAGTTGGAGCTTTGATGTCAAACACGGAACTTTAATACAAGCATCGGCCGGAGAAATTCACATCACAAGTCACACAGTCAAAGGTTCTGACTGCACGGGTGGGTTGCCATGTCAAATCAGATCAGCCTCGCATCTTGGTAGACCCTTTAACTAGTTTACAGAGAGTCAACCCACATATTGGGGGAAGGTATGTGAACACCTGGGAACAATGGAGATGTCTCTGACATCCGTGGTGCTTAGAAGCCCGCGTTCTCACAGTCGTAAAACCCCCCCTGTGCCCGCCAGGTCAGGCCATAAAACCTGGTAGTATCAACATACGACTCCATTATCACATTCCTTACGGGAGATTAGAAGCAGGGATGGTCGTAAATGTCAACACACAGAATAGGTTAAATATTTAGAAGTAAAGACAGAATTATTCCCTAACAGTTAGTATATAAGTGCTTTGTTAGTATATGAGTGCTTAGTTAGTATATGAGTGCTTAGTTAGTATATAAGTGCTTAGTTAGTATATAAGTGCTTAGTTAGTATATGAGTGCTTAGTTAGTATATAAGTGCTTTGTTAGTATATAAGTGCTTAGTTAGTATAAGAGTGCTTTGTTATTATAAGTGCTTTGTTAGTATATAAGTGCTTAGTTAGTATATAAGTGCTTAGTTAGTATATAAGTGCTTAGTTAGTATATAAGTGCTTAGTTAGTATATTAGTGCTTTGTTAGTATATAAGTGCTTAGTTAGTATAAGAGTGCTTTGTTATTATAAGTGCTTTGTATATAAGTGCTTAGTTAGTATATGAGAGCTTTGTTAGTATATAAGTGCTTAGTTAGTATATGAGTGCTTTGTTATTATAAGTGCTTTGTTATTATAAGTGCTTTGTTAGTATATGAGTGCTTTGTTAGTATATAAGTGCTTTGTTAGTATATAAGTGCTTTGTTAGTATATAAGTGGTTAGTTAGTATATAAGTGCTTTGTTAGTATATGAGTGCTTTGTTAGTATATAAGTGCTTAGTTAGTATATAAGTGCTTAGTTAGTATATGAGTGCTTTGTTATTATAAGTGCTTTATTAGTATATGAGTGCTTTGGTAGTATATAAGTGCTTTGTTAGTATACAAGTGGTTAGTATATAAGTGCTTTATTAGTATATGAGTGCTTTGTTAGTATATGAGTGCTTTGTTAGTATATGAGTGCTTTGTTAGTATACAAGTGGTTAGTATATAAGTGCTTAGTTAGTATATGAGTGCTTTGTTAGTATACAAGTGGTTAGTTAGTATATAAGTGCTTTGTTAGTATATGAGTGCTTTGTTAGTATATAAGTGGTTAGTATATAAGTGCTTTGTTAGTATATGAGTGCTTTGTTAGTATACAAGTGGTTAGTATATAAGTGCTTTGTTAGTCTTATTGCTTTGTTAGTATATAAGTGCTTAGTTAGTATATAAGTGCTTTGTTAGTATATAAGTGCTTTGTTAGTATATAAGTGCTTTGTTAGTATATAAGTGCTTTGTTAGTATATAAGTGCTTTGTTAGTATACGGGTGCTTTGTTAGTAATTGTATTGCTCGAAGTGGAGTCGAAAGAGATGAGTTTGTGGAAGCTTTCTGCTGTCCTGATGTCAATGGGGAGCGCATTCCACCATTTTGGTACCAGGATAGCAAACCCACGTGTTTCTGCTGATGGGAATATATTTTAATTAGGGCCGGGACTTTAACGCGTTAATTAAGATTAATTAATTACACAAAAATTAACGCGTTAAAAAAATTAACGCATTTTAATCGCACTTATTTTTGCACCGCGGAACGTTTCTCACTGGATGAGTTTCAGGCGTACCGATTATACTGGAGCACCAACTAACGTTCATGACTTCAGACAACAACAAACCACAGTGAACAACAGTGGGAAATGTTGTTTTAAAAAACGGACGGATGGAAGCGTTGATAAGAGCACGGTTGTGTGCAAATTATGCAAAAAGGAATTCGCATATCACCGCAGCACATCAAGCCTCAAGTATCACCTCAATGCAAAAACATATAGCAGCTAGCGTGGAAGCTAGTGTGGACGTTAGCCTCTTTTATCGCGTTCACACCAAAAAGAGCCGGTACTAAAATTAGTTCATGAGAACCTTTTTACCCCCACGAAAGTCCCTGCTAGAGAGCAGAGAGCTGCTAGAGAGCAGGGACTTTCGAGCGGCTCTCTTGTGAGAAAAAAGCTATATTTCTGATTGGCTGGGCGGATTGCAAACCACGCCCCGTAAAACTCCCAAAAAGTTTTGTGAAGCCGCCATTTTATTATCCTCGCATTAGCATTATTAGCATTAGCCCAGCGCAGAAACGCAGAGAGACTAACTTATGGCAACACAAAATAAAACATGGGAGCGGTGGAGATGAGGAGGTGTCGGCGTTCTGGGGATTTACTCGGAAGGCTTCAGTAGAAGCTGCTGGGACTCCCAGCAGCTTCTACTGAAGCCTTCCCCAACTCCGGGGACTTCCGGCCGGGGACTTTGGGCGGCAGTATACGCCGTGAAGTGGTTTGCGGACTGCCAGTAAACCCAAAGCAGAAGAAGAAGAAGTGACGTCAGCGGCTTCATTTGCCTAATCCACCCCCAGGTTCAAAGAGTTCTCATGAACTAAGTTCTCATGAACCTTTGTGGGAAAAGTACTGCGGTGTGAATGCGCCTAATGGTATACTAAAATCCATGTGAAAAAAATGGCTTCTCACTGTTCTTAGGTCAAATATTTATATGTGATTAAAAATGCGATTAATTTCGATTAATTAATTACAAAGCCTCTAATTAATTAGATTAATTTTTTTAATCGAGTCCCGGCCCTAATTTTTATATAAGACAAATGCCAACCAATAGGAATTGAAGAAAGCCTATACATCTATTTCTAATAATAAAACAAATAATTTCCTTATTCCCATTTACATTTCAAACTACTTCTTTAAAACGTTTTATATATTGCATTTATTTTGTCAATACTTTTGTATTTCACGGCTATCTAGAGTTATTGGAAATGGTCAAATACTTATTATTTTACCTTATCTTAATCCGTGCAGAAATACCGTCTTTAAGCAGAATGAATGAATAGATATACCATGAATTTGAATGTTGAAAATGTAGAATTCAAATGTTATGAATTAAGCTTTACACTACTTGTGCAGCCTGAGTTGTTCTTGTTGTATATCGTCAATTTCCCCTCATTATCCTACATATTCTCATCCTCCCTCTTAATTGATTTCAGGTCGATTAACAAGGAACAGTTTGAGAAGAAGAAAAACGACACACTGGACCCTGAACTGTAAGTCAATGTCTCGCCAAACCTCAAATATTAGCATCTGGGAAAGAAGATCAAACTACATTTTTCAGAGATTAAAGTTGAATTCATTTATATTTTTGTGTCTCTGTTTTCAGGTTGGTTGAATGTTTGGACTGCGGCCGCCGGATGCATCAGATCTGTGTCCTGCACCATGAAACCATCTGGCCCTCGGGGTGAGAAACAACTTCATTATTCCAGTCGTTCTCAACGTTTATTGGGAAGTAGGGATGCTATCGGCCGATATTCACTCGATCGGTGCTCTCTATAAAGATACATAAACATGACGTCAAATACATGACACTTTTCTCTGTGCGCGGCAAATCAAGCTTGCCAAAATGGCTTCACCGGTCTGGCAGTGTTTTAAGGTGTCCAAAAAAGACAGTAAAATAGCGGTATGCAACGTGTGTGAAGCAGAAATCCTGCAGCTCCACCCGCTGTGACGGACCGGTGAGCGAAACACACACTAAGAGTTAGACCTAACACACTTAGCTATTTGATCTACCTCTGGAACAAGCTAAACTAGTTATACATATATTTATTCTTCACTGTCGGGTCACTCATTACTGGATCAGTGAGCTGCATGAGATACTGACAGGCTGTCAGGAGAGAGAGGCCGTTTCTCAATCGCGAGGATGCTTGCTTGGTAGCACATGTCTTCAGAGTCACTTGCTTCAGAAGCTAGGCAAGAATCCTTCCTGGCATTCGGAAAACGAAGAGTGGAACAGGCTAGCAAGTGTGCAGGTGTGCGTCATATGAGAGGCCCCGTCTTACATTTTCCGCCACAGATTTGGGGAAATTGGTCCGTGCGCAAAGCATTGTGGGGATTTGAAGGACGCGAAGTCTACCCATGTGCAGCCTCGAAATTACCCCCAAACCAAGGACGCGGCCTCTGTGGAATTCCAAGTATGCTGGAGATTGGAACAGTCCTTCGGCGGCACTCGATGACGTAGCATCCTTGAAATATTGGCTTGGAAGCCAGTTTCTTCGAGATTGAGAAACGGCCAGAGAGAGAGGGGGAGAGAGGAAAAGAGAGGCTTCCGCTCATTTCTCCCGTGTTATTCTCCAAAGTTAATGTAAACTTGAATAATGTACTTCATTTGAATGTAATAATTATGATGGTTGTTGTTTGTGGAAGCTCCAGTGAATGAGAGTTTTAAACATCACTTTAAATGGAAGATCCCCATAGGCCCCGCCCACTCGATAGGATCGGCGATCGGTATCGGGCGATACTGATTCCGGCGATCAGCCCCAAAATTGGCGATCGGAGCATCCCTATTGGGAAGTTAGCTCAATATGTTTTTTATTTATGTAATTCCCTGACTCAACTCTGCTTTTCCTCACAGTTTTGTATGTGACGGCTGCTTAAAGAAGACAAACAAGACGAGGAAGGAGAACAAGTATTCGGCCAAAAGTAAGTGTGGTTCTGGTCTATAAAACGGCCATCTTTTAGACATTTGATTCAATCAGTTTCTTGTTATTATTTTTGGAGCGAGATGATGTATCTCTTATCATTATCTCAGAATGACCCATATTTTTTTTCTCATGGTAATGACATTTTTGTATGAGGCTGCTAGAAATATGCTTTTATCGGGAAAACAGCTTTTTATATTCTGTGATAATGACAGTTAATTTGCTGGTGAGCTTTAACACTAGAACCGCCAACGGGTCAATTTTACCCGCAGCTGTTTTTTGATTGTATGTAACTTTTTTTCAACAAAATATTGAAGTCTCCCAGTCCATGACTTTTCCTGAAAGTGTGTTATGCAGCACCCACTGTTGTTAATAATGGTCAATATGAAGTCAGATTGAAAAGATCGCCATAAAAATCCATTTATACCTATATCCGCCAGCGGGTAATATTTACCTCATAGAAAATGCAGCGTAAACATGACGTGTTGCTATAGCAACGCCTTTTGTCTACTGCGGTTCCTTATCGATAGATAGACAGACAGACTGACTGACAGACAGACACAGACCGATAGACAGACAGACGGATTTGTACCCAAACAAAACACAAGTCTAACACCAAGCGTTTAAATCAGCACTTGTAGCGATATTTTATACTTCATGTTATCTGCACAAACTATATCACATGCAAAGCTGAGAGTCCACAGTTTCTATTGGTATACATTTCATCCCTGTGCGATCAAAACTCACTGTTCTGTATGATAAATAAAAGAACATTGTACCTTGAAAATCAATAGCTGGTACATTTGACCCGTTGGCGGTTTTAGGTATACAGCGACCTCTGGCGGTTCTAGTGTTAAGAGAATCTGTTTCATAAAAAAAAGGAGTAAATATAGAACTTTTTTAACAAGAAAGGCGTTTAATGCTTTTATTCTAAACCATTTTAGCATGATTTCAATTTTAATGCTTGGAGGTATCACATTGAACCAATTCAAATGACACCTCGGTCGCACATTATCCTGTCACTAATCACCAAATGAATGTCACAAGTACACACACACAAACATACTTTGATCTCTTCCCAATCAGGTTTTTTGTAGCTTTGTTTTCTCCCTGCATGTTTAAGCATCAGTGAAGTGATTTCTTTCCTCCTCTCTTCGCAGGGTTGCCTCAGACGAAGCTTGGCAGCCACCTGGAGAACAGAGTGAACGACTATCTGAAGAGGCACTGCTACACGGAGGCCGGAGAAGTTCACATTCGAGTCGTTCACGTCTCCGACAAAGTGGTGGAGGTCAAACCAGGCATGAAGTCCAGGTACAGAACCAGACACATTTAAACCAAATCTAAAACGCCCAAAAAATTGGATGCCATGAGTACATTTGTGTTTTCACACAGTTTTGAAGATTTCCAAAAATCGGATGTCTAATGTTCAGCTTTAGAGCTAATTATCTCATCACACAGTGCTCTAAGGGGAGTGACTTGCATTTCTAGCAATACCAGAGACTGTCCTGAACATTTTGATATGTAACACATGGGGTGCCATGTTCTAACAAATACATTTAAAAGTTGATTTAAGGAGATATCTACAAATCGAGAAAATACCCTTAGACTCCAGAAGCTCTAATTTGCTTACAACCACATTAACGTATCAAATAGAAACACTGATTTTTAGTCTTTCCACCATTTATCTAGATGTTTAACCACATCAAAAACAGCCCTACATTCATATGATATACACATATAATGATAATAATGAAGCTTTATTTATATAGCACTTCTCATATAACACATGCCGCTCAAAGTGCTTTGCAAAATGACACATCACAAGAAACAAACAAGAAACTCCCCTCAGATTATTTGTTAAGAACCTGTTGACTGTTTTAACACGAAACTGTGTCTCAGGGCTTCTTAACATTTCTGAAACTATTAATGTTCCATACTCACTTAACGGGAAAAAACTCAGCTACCTGACGATACGAACCATTTTTACCGAAACAAAACACAAGTCTCACAAGAAGCGTCTAAATGAGCCCTGAGCAAAAAAAATGCTATCGCACTTAGCACAGAACTCACAGCTTAAATACCCTTATTACTTATCGTATCTGCACAAACAAGATATCGATTAGCAAGATGAGATTCCACAGATTCCAGAAATATTAGTATCATCGGGTTGGCTCAGGGTTAACAGGTTAAAGGTACATGCAGCATAATATAACATTTTATCAGGTTAATAGACACAAGGAGGTAAAAGGTAACATATAGGTACAACAGAAATACAAATATTATAGTAATACAATTGCCATAATTCTAATAAAGGTTAAACGATTACAAATAAAAATAACACAGAGTATTAAAAACTTGTCATGCAATCAATCGCGATTCCTAAAGTAATTAAACGAGCTTTGAAAGACTTAAAATAAACTCTGTAATGAGATGACTTGATTACTATAAGCACATTGTTTATCAGGGATTGTCTCAAGCGGTTTCCAAAAGGAGATATATTTCTCTTTCTCTGTTTCCCAATCTATACCTTGTTTCTCGTCTACAGATTTGTGGACAGCGGAGAGATGTCGGAGTCGTTTCCTTACAGGACGAAAGCCCTCTTTGCGTTCGAGGACATCGACGGTATAGACGTTTGTTTCTTCGGGATGCACGTCCAGGAGTACGGATCCGACTGCCCTCAGCCCAACCAGAGGTTAAGACCTAAATAAAAACACAACAACCAATATATACAAAATAACAGTCACTTCAATATATTTTGAGAATGTGCATTAGTGCAAGACTGTCCATAGCTGCTGTTCATGATCTGTGTTCCTCAACATCACAATATTAACGACGTGACTTTTTTTTATACTTTATACTCTCTCTCTCTCTCTCTCTCTCTCTCTATCTCTCTCTCTCTCTCTCTCTCTCTCTCTCTCTCTCTCTCTCTCTCTCTCTCTCTTTCTCTTTCTCGTTTCTCTCTGTCTCTGTCTCTCTCGCTCTGTCTCTCTCTCTGTCTGTCTCTCTCTCTCTCTCTCTCTCTCTCTCTCAGGCGAGTTTACATCTCCTACCTGGACAGCATTCACTTCTTCCAGCCTCGTGGTCTCAGAACAGCCGTTTACCACGAGGTCCTCATCGGATACCTGGAATACGTCCGGAAGTTGGGGTAAGAGCTGCTGCTCACACACTTAAGACAGGGAGTAGTAAACATTTGCAATAAGGGAACAGTAAACATTGAGACCCTCCCCTTCTCATTGTACTGTTTTCTGATGTGCATCTTATTAGGGATGGGTATCGTTAAGGTTTATCGATAACGCTTATCGATCCGGTCCTTTAACGGTATTCTTATCGGTTCTTTTGAGAGAGAAAAAAGGTAAATTAACTAAACAAAATAAATTAAATACATAATATTTCACATCAAAAGAAAGAACAGTGTTTTAACACATTAAATAATGTGATGACAGAACTGTAAACGGAATAGCTGAAACTTTAACAAAATAAAGGGTTTATTCCACCTTTTCCCATCTCCTAGAGCTTCCTTCAGTCTGTAAATTAACTTCCTCTCCTCTCTCTTTTCCTCAGCTACACCACTGGGCACATCTGGGCCTGCCCGCCCAGCGAAGGAGACGACTACATCTTCCACTGTCACCCCGCGGACCAGAAGATCCCCAAACCCAAACGCCTGCAGGAGTGGTACAAGAAGATGCTGGACAAATCCGTGGCGGAGAGGATAGTGCACGACTACAAGGTAATAATTGTCGTGGCTTCCTTCCTTCTTTATCTATCCAGCCATTAGACGCCTTAAACAGCCATGTTTTAATTCGTGCAACAAAGAAAATAGGTCTTTACAATAGAGTGCCACAGTGACGCATCCTAAAACCCGGAAGTCTGTGTAGGCCGTTGTTGTGAGTGTGGACGGTCGGAGCATATACTGCGTTAGCTTAGCCGATCTCCATTCAGAAAACACGCATTTTAAAGGGTGTTTCGCCTGCCGTCTGTCTGCAGACTTGTCAAAGCATTAATTCATGGTTTTTACTAACCGGTATCAGCATGTTGTTACTTCGGCATCATTTAGAAACGTGTATTACAATTAAATCACGGTCAAATATGTTCATTGTAGTTGTAGCCACTCACGTCACTAGTTTAGCATATTCAGCCCGGTTGTTGGCCCGGGAAGAACCACGATTTTTGGCACGGCACGCTTAAACCGTGCTACGCGCTGCAGTGGAAATGCGCCATAAGTGTCCTTGCAGGTTGATAAAATGAGAGACGGTCACTTAAATATGTTGGGACAAATGTAAAGCCTTGTAAATCATTCAAAAGAGAGGCAGGATTTATATTTATTCTAATGTTTGTTTAAGGCAGCGGTTTTCAAAGTGTGAGGCGCACCTCCCTGGGGGGGCGCCAGAGAGCTTCAGGGGAGGCGCAGCGTGAGAAAGAAATAACGAGAAACAGTCAAATCTAGCTAGTTAACTCTTTGGGCGATAGCCTTTTGCCGACAGGCGGAAGGTGTCGGCACGGCCGAAAAGACACGACGGTGCGGGACACACCATTCTGAGTAGGGCGACAGGACGCTCATCGACGGCCAGATATCGGCTCGGTGTGTCAGGGCCTTAACATACAGGAACAAAATAACAGAAAGCAAAGCATGACAAACATGGACAAACCTCGTACAGTCTGTTAAGTAAAATTCATGAAGTAATACATACACGCTCTGTATGTGGGTATGGACCCGGCGTCAATCAAACGCCTGCAGCTAGTCCAAAACGCAGCTGCACGTCTACTCACTGGCCACAAAAAGCGTGATCACATCACCCCAATTCTGGCCTCAGGCTTCCAATTCGGTTCAGAATTTATTTTAAAATCCTTTTATTTGTTTTCAAAGCCCTAAAAGGCTCCGGCCTATATAGCCGAACTCCTCCATCGCTACACCCCAGCCAGAGCTTTAAGGTCTGCTGACCAGCTGCTGCTGGTAGTGCCCAAGACCAGGCTCAAAACCTGAGGGCACCGAGCCTTCGCAGCAGCTGCCCCCAGGCTCACTCTGCCCCTCCACGTGAGGTCGGCCCAGACCCTAGGGGTTTTCAAATCCTCACTAAGGACACACTTCTTCTCCCTGGCCTTCTAGTCAGAGCGGAGCACGACTCCTGACTTTTCCCTGTGTTTCTGATTTTTATATTTATTGTGTTTTATTGGGATTGTAGTAATGTGTTTTTATTACATGTACAGCACTTTGGCTCGACCAGAAATCGCTTTTAAATGTGCTTTATAAATAAAACTTGATTTGATACAATCATTACAATTTGATAGACAGTAGTGTCTAATAGATCAGTTTGATCAATAACAAGAGCAGAGCAGCTGAAAGTGAGATGATAATGCTTAAACATACCCAATGATGCAGGGGGTGACTAGCAGCAGGTAGAAAGGTCAAACATGAACTCCAGTGTATGCAACTGCTGATATAAATGATTTCGATGCAAAACACTAACTTTATTTCCAATTCTCCCCTAAAGGACGTGTTCAAGCAGGCGACAGAGGATCGATTGACGAGTGCCAATGAGCTGCCGTACTTTGAGGGCGACTTCTGGCCCAACGTCCTGGAGGAGAGCATCAAAGAGCTGGAGCAGGAGGAGGAGGAGAGGAAGAGGGAGGAGAACAGCACGTCCAACGAGAGTATCGATGTAAGAGTGTGTATTTTTTTTTACTCCGTGTTGAGAAATCATCATCATAAAACCGCCTGAGCTTGTTAATAAAGCTTTCTGTCCTCCTCTCTTTGTGCAGGATACGAAAGGTGACAGTAAAAACGCAAAGAAGAAGAACAACAAGAAGACGAGTAAGAACAAGAGCAGTCTGAGCCGAGCCAATAAGAAGAAGCCGGGGATGCCCAACGTGTCCAACGACCTCTCGCAGAAACTCTACGCCACCATGGAGAAACACAAGGAGGTGAGTCTGGAGGACATTCTAACTCCCTTACATCAACATGTGTCCCCTCTTCCTCACGTCTCTTCTACATCAACATGTGTCCCCTCTTCTTCATGTCTCTTCTACATCAACATGTGTCCCCTCTTCTTCACGTCTCTTCTACATCAACATGTGTCCCCTCTTCTTCATGTCTCTTCTACATCAACATGTGTCCCCTCTTCTCCATGTCTCTTCTTCATCAACATGTGTCCCCTCTTCTTCATGTCTCTTCTACATCAACATGTGTCCCCTCTTCTTCATGTCTCTTCTACATCAACATGTGTCCCCTCTTCCTCACGTCTCTTCTACATCAACATGTGTCCCCTCTTCCTCACGTCTCTTCTACATCAACATGTGTCCCCTCTTCTTCTTGTCTCTTCTACATCAACATGTGTCCCCTCTTCTTCTTGTCTCTTCTACATCAACATGTGTCCCCTCTTCTTCATGTCTCTTCTACATCAACATGTGTCCCCTCTTCTTCATGTCTCTTCTACATCAACATGTGTCCCCTCTTCTTCGTGTCTCTTCTACATCAACATGTGTCCCCTCTTCTTCATGTCTCTTCTACATCAACATGTGTCCCCTCTTCCTCACGTCTCTTCTACATCAACATGTGTCCCCTCTTCCTCACGTCTCTTCTACATCAACATGTGTCCCCTCTTCTTCTTGTCTCTTCTACATCAACATGTGTCCCCTCTTCTTCTTGTCTCTTCTACATCAACATGTGTCCCCTCTTCTTCATGTCTCTTCTACATCAACATGTGTCCCCTCTTCTTCATGTCTCTTCTACATCAACATGTGTCCCCTCTTCTTCGTGTCTCTTCTACATCAACATGTGTCCCCTCTTCTTCATGTCTCTTCTACATCAACATGTGTCCCCTCTTCTTCGTGTCTCTTCTACATCAACATGTGTCCCCTCTTCTTCATGTCTCTTCTACATCAACATGTGTCCCCTCTTCTTCATGTCTCTTCTACATCAACATGTGTCCCCTCTTCTTCATGTCTCTTCTACATCAACATGTGTCCCCTCTTCTTCGTGTCTCTTCTACATCAACAACGATCAACACTTTGAATCGCCTTGTGTTGAAAGGTATATATATAAACTTGCCTTGCCCTCTTTTCCCCCAGGTGTTCTTCGTGATTCGGCTCATCGCAGCCCCCATGTCGAACTCCCTGCCCCCCATCACTGACCCCGACCCCCTGATGGCCTGCGACCTGATGGACGGCCGCGATGCTTTCCTCACGTTGGCGCGGGACAAACATCTGGAGTTCAGCTCGCTGCGTAGGTCCATGTGGAGCTCCATGTGCATGCTGGTGGAGCTGCACAACCAGAGCCAGGACCGCTTCGTATACACCTGCAACGAGTGCAAACACCACGTGGAAACACGCTTCCACTGCACCGTCTGCGAGGTCAGTTTGGGAAAGGTAGCTTGGCTGGGTCTTAATTTCAGGGTTGAACATAAGGGGTAGAAGCATCATTCATAACTTTGCTAATATACTGGATATTTGTAATCTGTAGTAACAACTAATACCAAAAATAAATGTTGGATGTTTTCTAGATGTGTTATGTTAACATCCTTCAGATCCCTAACCTTTCCTCTCCCATGTCTTCCCTCTCAGGACTACGACCTGTGCATCACCTGCTACAACACTAAGGGCCACGTGCACAAGATGGAGAAGTTGGGCCTGGGTCTGGACGACGAGAGCAGCAACTCGTCAGCCGCAGCGACTCAGAGCCCCGGAGACTCACGGCGCCTCAGCATCCAGCGCTGCATCCAGTCCCTGGTCCACGCCTGCCAGTGCCGCAACGCCAACTGCTCGCTGCCGTCCTGCCAGAAGATGAAGCGGGTGGTGCAGCACACAAAGAGCTGCAAGAGGAAAACAAACGGCGGCTGTCCAATCTGCAAACAGCTCATCGCGCTCTGCTGCTACCACGCCAAACACTGCCAGGAGAACAAGTGTCCGGTTCCCTTCTGTCTCAACATCAAGCACAAGCTCCGCCAGCAGCAGCTTCAGCACCGGCTCCAGCAGGCGCAGATGTTGAGGAGGAGGATGGCCAGCATGCAGAGGGTCGGACAGTCTGGAGGAGGAGGAGCTTCAGGAGGAAATGGATTACCTTCTCCCAGTGCAAACAACGGATCAACAGCGCCTGGAACACCGACTTCTGTGGGGGGAACGCAGCCGCCGACACCTCAGACACCGACACATGGGAACATGCCCGCTCTCCCCCAGCAGCAGGGAGGCATGGGGGGGATGGGAGCCATGGGAGGCATGGGAGGGATGGGAGGAATGGGGCAGCAACAAGGTGGTCCTCAGCATCACCTCCATCAGTATCAGCCTGTGGGAGTTGGAGGGGGGATGATGAACTCCCCTCAGCAGCAAATGGTGCCTCAAATCCAGGCTCCAAACGTCCAGCAGCACCAGGGGGTTCTTCCTCCGTACAACCCCAGACCCGCAGGAGCGTCACCTTTACACCAGTCCCTAGGAAAACCAGGATCCACCCCTCCCCAGCAACAACCACAACAACAAACCATCATGCCGGGGCAGAACCAGCAGCAGGGGCCCCCTCTGGCTGCTGTGGAGACGGCGCTGAAGATCCAGCGGCTCGCAGAGACCCAGAGACAGATGGCTCAGGCTCAGGCTCAGGCTCAGATACGAGGCATGGGCCAGGGGGGGGGTCTGATGCCCCAACACCCGCACCACCAGACCCCCCAGGTTCAGATGGGCATGTCCCCCCACATTGGGGCACAGGGCATGTCCCCCCAGAATCAGGGAGTCGTCGGCAGGACTATGTTAGAGCAGCAGGGCATGTTAGCGGGGCTTCAGCAGCAGCAGCAGCAGCAGGGCGGCCCCCCCCAGACTCAGCTGCTGCCTCCTCAGGTGCAGCAGCAGGGAGGGGGGCCGCAGCAGTGGGGGGGGGGCGCACCTCCCAACATGAGCCCCCAGCAGAGGATGATGGGTCACATGCAGCAGCAGCAGCAGGCAGGAATCCCTCAGCAGGCCATGACTCAGCAGCAAGGGGCTCGAGGGCTGATGCAGGTGATGGGGGGAGCTTCGGGGGTCTCGGGGCTCTCGGGGCTCTCGGGGGTCTCGGCAGGGGTCCAGAACTCGATTGTAGCGGCGGCTGCGTCGGGGAACCTCCCTCAGGCCGCGCTGCAGGATCTCCTGAGGACCCTGCGCTCCCCCAGCTCCCCTCTCCAACAGCAGCAGGTGCTCAACATCCTGCGCTCAAACCCCACCCTCATGGCCGCTTTCATCCGTCAGAGAGCAGCCAGGTACCAGGGGGGTCCTGGGGGGGGCCCCGGTGGGGGGGGGCCTCCACAGGGGGGTCCACCACAGCAGGGGGGTCCTGGGGGAGGGGCGAGGTTCCCTGGAGTCCTGCCTGGTGTGGTAGTGGACGGGCAGCAGCAGCAGGTTAGCGTGAACCAGGCGGGGGTTAACATGGCTCAGGGGGGGGCAGCGGCAGGGGGGAATATGCCCACCATGGCTCAGCTTCAGCAGCTACAGCAACAACAGCAACAACAACAACAACAACAGCAACAACAACAACAGCAGCAGCAGCAGCAACGCCCCATGCTACCTGGGAAGCTACAGCAACAGCAAATGGCTGCATTACAGCAACAACAACAACAGCAACAACAACAACAACAACAGGGAGCTGTGATGCAACCACAACAACCAGGGCAACCGGGAAACATCTGCAACATGAATCCACAGTTCAGAGAGCTGCTGATGAGGAGGCAACTTCTTCAACAACAACAGCAACAACAACAGCAACAACAGCAACAACAACAACAACAACAACAGCAACAACAGCTACAACAACAACAACAGCAACAGATGGGGAACCACGGGCAGTTCCAGCCTCAGCAGGGCTTCATGCAGCCGGGCTCAGGTCTGCCCCCCCCCTCTGCTGCACCACAGCCTGGAGGTGGAGCCCCCGCCCCCCCCCAGCAGCAAGGTGGGGGGGCCACAGTGCCCAGCCCACAGCAGCAGAGCTACACTAACAACATGTCTCAAGTTGCTGCGGCGATCCAGCAGCGGCTCCAGCACCAGATGCAGCTTCAACAACAACAACAACAACAACAACAACAGCAGCAGCAGCAGCAGCAGCAGCAGCAGAACTCAATGAGTCAGGATGGAGGTGGAGGTCAAAGTGGAGTTTCAGGAGGACAGACCACCCAGAGCATGCTCCACCAGAACATCCACCAGAGGCTCCTCCAGCAGCAGCATCTCAGCGGGGGGTCTCCGGGGCAACACAGCAGCCCAATGAGCCCACAACAACAACAACAACAGATGGTTCAGTCTCCGCGGCCCCACCTTCAGGCTCAGGGCGGTTTGGGTGCAGCGGTTCGATCTCCGCAACCGTCGCCGAGGCCTCAATCGCAACCGCCTCGATCCAGCCCGTCCCCCCGCATGCAGCCGGCATCATCGCAACCGTCGCAACCGTCGCCGCATCGCAACCCCCCGCAAACAGGCTCCTCCCCTCATCTCATCGCACAGCATCATCAAAACATGGCGCCGCCGCAGAATCCCCCGCTTCCTCCAGATCAGTTCAGCTCGGAGCAAAACAATATCATGTCTCAACTGAGCGGGATGACGGGGATGCAGTCGGACATGTTAGGGGGAAACAACAACAACAACAATAATAACAATAACCCGGATCTGCAAACGACGAACATTAACCACAGCAGTTTGGATCTGATGTAGCCTCGTCGCTCTCCGTCTCTGATTTTCAAAGAAACTGCCGCGATATGGAGAGCGAGGCGGGACTTTTTTTTTTGTTGAAGTTTTTATTTTTTATTTAAATATTTTTGTGATGTATAATAAATAAGAACTGCCTTCCTATGGGAGATAAATCTTTAGAAGTCAATAAATGAATAAATTAAAAACAATGGTAAGTTATTGCTGTTAATATATATCTATATATATTTTTGCCAATTGTGTACAAAGGGGGGGGGGGGGGGGCAGTGTTTTCAGGTTGAAGATATTTCTTCCTTATTAAGTCGATATTTTTGGGGATTTTTTGCCTTTTTATGAATATTTTTAAGATTTTAAATGTGGCGAAGAATTAACAGTGAGTGACACGATGTACCTTTTTTTCCCCCTTCCTCAAATACCCATAATTGTATTTTGCAGAGTATATTTTATTTCTGAATCTATTATTTTGTTTCCTCCCTCTCGATGACATATCTTCTGTTACAGAAATCCTTATTCTGTACAACACACATATAGACTTTATTTTATATGATAAAGGGAGGGGAGTTAGATGCGTTTTGTTTCAGGGTTTATAAATTAGAAACCTCAGCAGTGTTTTTTGGGGGGTGGTATTTTTCTGCAAACAAATCCTCCTCGCACCACTTCCTCCTCTGAATGTCCCTTTTATCCTGAAAGGGAGGAGGAGCCCGTTTTAAAGCTGGACGACGTTTATGTACATATATATTTACAGCCTTGTTTATAAACTGTGACATGGAGAAGCCTGCCTGTACCCTCACAAACAGTTCCCCTTCTTTACATCCCCGCTAATTCAATGTTGTACAGAAAATGGTGGACTTAGATACTGTTTTTGTAATGAAAGTGAAATTGAAATGTAAAAAAAATACACGCCTGTACATACTTTTAAAAGCCGTATAAGCAGAGGGATTATTTTTCTGCTGCTTGTCCCCCCTTTCTTGTTTGGATATTTGCTGTATCTGTATAAAAACACAAAAACTCCTGAGCTACTGTACAGCATTGAGATGATTTTGTAAGCAGGTACAGTGGGGGGGTGTTGAAGGTCACAAGCGCCTTTTTCTGTGTATTTTTGACAAGGTTTTTGGGAGGGAGGGGTTATTGCAAACACACCTGAACAATCTCACACAGGTGGAGACCGGAAAAAAGAGTTTAAATTTAGCTTTTTATGGACTGAAGCTCACTATTTTTCTCACAAAAGGTTGGGCTTGCTGGGTATATAAGAGGGGGGGGGGGCATCCGAACCAGGTGGCAATATATCTTGAGACTTATTTTGTAAGAAAACAAGGAAAAACTGTCTTTTTTATATATAGATATATTATTTAATTTTATTTTTTTGGAAATAAAACTTGAAGCTACAGGAATTATTAGATAAAAACAATGTTTTTGTTTTGTATTGAAGATGTAATGGTGATGCAACACGACACTGCAGACCCCCCGCGGAGAATCTCCTGATATAGTTGTAAACATACTGAATCACTGTACAAACCCGATGGCAACTGAACAAATACCTTCTCTTTCAATCACTTCTTCTTCTGCTCAACAGAGACTGGAAATAAGACTTATTTAAATATTTGTTTTTAGTATTACAAATGGAAAAACTTTGACCACTTTTTCTTTTTTTGTTAACAAGTTTTTGGTGCTCGCTGAGAGAAAGCAAAAATAACTGTTGCTCCATTTTCATTAGTTTCCTTTTTTCTAAGTTATTTTGGTGGTCTGATTGTTTTTTTTGCCAATAAATTAATTGTACAATAAAGTATGTTTGTACCATTGGAAAAATACCCCGTTGTTGACTCCTTTTTCACATTTATATATATGAGATATTTGAGAAATGAAGCTCAGCGCAAGTTCAACCAGGAAGACCTTCTTTACTCTTCATATATGATGTTAATACTCTCTCCTCTCAATAAGTGATCAGGGGCGTCACTCCCCAGCTTAACCAATCACATCGCTCTATTCTCACAAGCCTATCATAGTGCTCCGCTAACCCTTTTAAATCTGCTCTCCCCTCTGACAGCTGTCATTTCAGGTGATTCGATGCAACCCTCCTCCACCCCTTTTCACCTCCTGTCCCTCTGAATCCAGGGTCAAGCTAAGCCCCTCCCCTTCAGACCGACCCCAACCATCCATTCACCACCACCAGGGTCAAGCTAAGCCCCTCCCCTTCAGACCGACCCCACTATCCATTCACCACCACCAGTGTCTAGACCCCAGGGGGGTTTCATCGGATATATATTCATCGGTTCTCCCCTCCCGAATGATACTCCTGCACAACGGGGCCTATTCGCCAAAACTCCATTACATTCATTTGTGTATTCCTGGCAATAAATATGTATTCTTACATCAAAACCGTCTCTCCTGATTGAAGTAGTTACAGGATTTCATGGTTTTTATAGACGTCTAAAATTGTGATATTTGTTCATATTAAATCAGTTTGATTATAACAAAACAGAGGCCAAAATATATCATTATTGATGTATATATTGGCCGATAAATAACAAAAACATGCAAATTAGTTATGAATAGAAGTATAAATAGTGTCTCATACTTTATCTACAATAGGATTTAATGAGGCGCTATTTGGCTCGATTCTGATTGGTCGATTCAGAACATGTGACACGTTAATCCAGTAGAACAGACAGCTGTCAAGGACTGTGATGAAAAACAATTCTTAATAATGAAATGTTTCCACACAAATTATAATGTTTTGCAAATTATTTGGCGGCCCATTTGCAATGCCTTCGCGGACCACTAGGGGGCCGCGGCCCACAGGTTGGGAAACGCTGCTTGAGTGTGTCAATAAGCAACTGAACAAGGGACTCAAATCATAGTAAACATGAGTAACATTTATTTTAGTATAAATATCCCATACACAGGGACAATCACAATAAAGTGCAAATATTCAGGAAGCAGCACAACATCAGGCGACGTCCAATCAGGAGCTCTCATGTTATACAGTAGCATTCGCAGTTTATCACAAACTTTATAAAAACGTTTCTGTTTCAGTCCACAAATACACAGAATAAAGAATACATTCAGGTCAATGTAGAAAAATAAGAAATACTTTAGTCCCCTCGGTCTTCCTCTCTTTGACGTTTCCTCATATTTCAAGTAATAACAGCATCAGTAGAGGAAAAGTGTGTGTGTGTGTGTGTGTGTGTGTGTGTGTGTGTGTGTGTGTGTGTGTGTGTGTGTGTGTGTGTGTGTGTGTGTGTACAAGATAGAGACATTAGCCCTAAAACTACAACAAAATTCAGCAACATCAGGCACTTTCTATCCCTACGCAGGACGCAACTTAATTATTAATATTCATGTTACTCCACAATTTCCTGGCGTATTATTAAATAAGTCTGCACAGCTGAGGGGACACCTGTCACTCTCAATTCATGTGATTTTGGGTGATTTATTCAATAACAACTCAGAGTATTTTCAGAGTTATTAATTGTTATTAAGCTGCGTTAATCAAATGACAGCCACATTGTTACCTAAAGTGTCTCAAACACGTTTAAGGAGTGCAATGCAACTGAAAGGTAGGAATTCAATTAAACCACTTTTGTATACCTAACAGTTGTCAGTCATGTAAACTATGTGATGTATACCCTTCAGTCACACGAGGCTCCTGATGATCAGTACGTGCAATTCAATAATACATGACACCATTTATCTAGTATCTTCATTCGGTTCAATACTCGGTCATCGCGGGTGTGTTTTGAGAGGAAGAGGAGGAGGAAACGGAGGAAACTACAGTGTGTGTTTGCATTGATGGAACTGCACTGCAGGAGAAACGACATGCAGGCGCTTTGAATCTCACGAGAGGATCTGGAAACACGAACAAGACGAAGCCACGTGTCGAACAGGAGAACACACTGTAGTTATTATGAGTGTTATGGAACAGAGGACATGTTTGCATGCACAGAGAACTCAACCTGTACTATTTGATCACCTACGTTACACTCTTCACTTTTTCCAATATCTGTAGTAAATCTATTTATGACTTTGACAAAAAGTGCTAATGAACGCTGGTTACATACATTAGCTCAATCTGACGTGGTGTGCATGAAAGGTGATAAGAATAGTAACCTTACAAAATAAAAGCAAGAAAGGTGATAAGGACAGTAACCCTTCAAAATAAAAGCATGATAAGAGTTCAAACATGAGCATTTTCATGCATGGAGTCCATTTTGTTAATTGCTTAAAGGTGAAGCCCCTTTACTTTGAATAGGCAACATGGGACTTTATTTAGAAAAATATAAGTAAGTTTGAGGACTTTCACATATGTTTGTATGTTTAACAGATACTTTTACAACTTAAAGGGGACCTATCGTGCCAGATGCACTTTTTTATGTATTTTATACATAAATGTGTCCCCCCGGTGTGTCAGGGAACTCACGCAGCGTCAGAAAATAAAACCCTCTCTCTTTTTCTCCGTACCCAAATCTTTAAAAAAACGGGGGTACAACGGAGCGGATACAGATTTGCTGCCGATATGACGTGAAATCGGCGTCGGATCCACAGAGAGTTGCTATCAGAAACAATGCCTGACGTGTTTTGGACGTAATCTCGTATTTGTTTACATTAGCAAGCCTCGCTAACACTCAGAGCTAACCTGTACTGGAGAGCACATGTGTTTAAAAAGCAGGAAATAAAAAAAAGAACTCACCTTGTGATAAACCCGCAAGAGAAAAAGCATTTGAGCTCCATACTGTTTCAGAAATAATCCTTGATGTGGTTTAGAACAGGATGGCGTTTCATCACAGCAGAATGTAACTTTATCTCCGGTAGAATTCTGATCAGGCATTAGCTCCGCCTCCTCTTTTTATTTTTTTAAGCTAAGGACCCAAAATCCGCTTTTCTCTAACAGGGCTGCAAAAGCGGGGTATGAGCAGTATGAGGCATGGCTACAATGGGGGATCTGTTTGGTATCTTAAGCAAAAAACTTCACAGACATGTTTTGTATAGGTATGGCCCTACAATATATTTTTCCAATATAGCATAATAGGTCCACTTTAAGAAAGTGTTGTAGTATGAAGGTACACTAGAGTTAATTTAGTAACTAAATTACTATTTAAGGGATGAACACATCAATAAATATAATACAGTAATTAAACATTTATGAAATGGGCTGTGGACTTGTATTTGTACTTTAAGTGCTTTTGATAGTGATACTTAAACTTCATTTTGAATGCTTTTACCTTGAACCAAGTATTTCTACACTGTGATGTTACGACTTTTCTCTAAGTTAAAGATATGAGTGCTTTTTTTGGGACAACCACTGCTAATACCTACTGTTAACTAAAGGCAACTCAAAACAACTCAAACTAAATGTAGCGTTAACCTGGCGTTCGGCTCATGTTCAGGCGACTCTGTGCATGTAAACGTTCCACTGAGCAGGCTGTAAGTAGCAGTGAGGGTTATTGACACGGAATAAAAACAACAACACTGTCCAATAACCAGAGGTGGGAAGTAGTGGAGTACAAATACTTTGTTACTGTACTTAAAGGTGGGGTAGGTAATTGAGGAGAAACCAGCTCGAGTGCGCTAGAATTTGAAAATACACAACCGGAAGAAATCTGCCACTTCCTTCAGACTTCCTTACAGAGCCCCTCCTCCAACACACACAAACGCACACATCACCAATGAGGGCACGAGATACATTTGTGCACAGATGGAAGGCTGACAGGCAGGTAGGCCATCCAGTTATTTTAGCCGGGCCGGCTCAGATGATTGGTCGTGCTTTTTACAGTACTACGGCAACCAATTGCCCCTTGCGGGATTAATAAAGTTGTTGATTGATTGATTGACGGCTTCCACAGATGAAACTGGTATCAGTACTTTACTCCACTAATAATTTTTCTGACGACTTTTTACATTTTGAACACAAATATCTGTACTTTCTACTTCTTACATTTTGTACACAAACACCTGTACTTTCTACTTCTCTCATTTTCCAAACAGCTGGTTCCTTTAGTCTGAATGTGTGTTTGGTGCGTGATCATTATTATTTAGAGTCATTGTGTGCCTATTGATTTGAACACGATCCGTGTATCCATCATTTCCTGGTCTTCTCTAAAGAAGAGGGACCAATGGAAACGTTGTCATGTTGCCGTTGTTCAGCATGGAAACATTCATTAGCTAACAATGACATTATTGTTCTATTAATATAAAGGGAGGTCAGGTACTCTTTAAAACAGCTGCTAGCTATGGGTACTTTTTACTGAAGTACATTTCGAATCCCTCTTTACTTTGACTCGAGTAAAGAAGTTTAGTCAGTAGCCTACTTCTACTTTCACCAGAGTATTATTAAACACGAGTATCTGTACTTCTACTTGAGTAAAGGATGTGTGTACTTTTGCGATCTCTGCCATTAACCACCGTCTTTAAACCCTCAGATCCTCAGCGGCTCTTTCTCTCTGAAGAAGCCTCGGGGGACTCTGGACTCTCTGAAGGTGACGGTGAGGGAATTCAGAGAGACGTCTGTGACCGTCACCTCTCCCGGAGTCACGAGCGGCCGCCAGGCAGCCTCCAGAATCTTCTCCTCTTCCTCCTCTTCCTCCTCCGGTCTTAGAGAGGAACAGTTCACCCTCTCCTGTCCTGAGGGAGACAGGAACAGAGAGGAAGACTACAGAATGACATGTATATGATATACGATACTATGACTTTTTTACGACTTTTCTTATGACATATTTTATGATTTTTAAATGGAATTTTATATTGTACATTTTGAATGGCTTTTTTTTATTTTTTTTAAATAACCCATTCAAAACGTTGTATCACTTGGTATACTATGGCTGTCACTGACTTTGTTTATGACATACTGTACTATTTCAGACATTTTCTTTTTGAAAGACTTAAAATTATTTTTTTACGATATACTAAACCTTGTATGTATGGATTTTTTTTATCACTTCGTAATGTATTTTTATGACATAATATTATTACTTTTTACGAATTTTTTTGTTTATTTTATGGCTTTTTATAAAATGTCCTAACATACTATAACATTTATTTTTATAAAATGTCTTATAACGTTTCAATGAAGCTCAGCGCAAGTTCTTTCAGGAAGACTGGGATACATTCACTCACACTGCTTATAATCAGCTCATCACGGGCTCTCTGTTAACCTATTACATTCACCTCAATCTCAGCAGCCAATCAGCATGCTGCAGCCAAACTTTAAAAATGGTTCTCCTCTCTCCTGCAGTCAGCGTGATTTCAGGTGTTATCTTCAGCATCACCACCAGTGTTCCCTATATGCTCACGGCTGCATTTCCCCCTTTAGATATACCATTTCAGGATCGAGGTCTAATCGCCAAAGACTTAACATTTAACATTTGGCATGTGTCAATAAATGTTCTTTAACAAAATGAAGTCTCTCCTGATTGAAATGATCTTGTGGCTTTTCTTTTGACAAGACTTTTTACATATTTTATGACTTTTAAACTGAATTCTATGATATATTATACTATTCCTTTTTTCCATTTTGATAATCAATTTGTCATTGATTGTTGATGACATACTATACCAAGACTTTTTCTAGCTTTTTCTGACATTTCTATCTTTTTATGTTCTTCAGAGGCAGAGGGTTCATCTCAATGTCGAGGAAGGCTGCTTCAGAGCCACTATTTCAAGGATGCTACGTCATCGAGTCCCGCCGAAGGACTGTTCCAATGTCCAGGATCCTTGGAATTCTACCGAGCCGGCGTCCTTCGTTGTGGCAAATTTCGAGGCACATGGTCTTAAAATCCCCACAATGCATTGCGCACGGACCAATTTCCAAAATCTTTGGCGGAAAATTTAAGGCAGGGCCTCTCATATGACGCACACCTGCACACTTGCTAGCCTGTTCCATTCTTCGTTCTCCGAACGCCAGGAGGGATTCTTGCCTCGCTTCTTAAGCAACTGACTCAGAGGTACATGTCCTACCAAGGAAGCGTCCTCGACATTGAGAAATACCCAGAGTGTAGAGTTGCAGTCAGTGATTGCATCAGCAGCATCACATGTGATCTGTTATTGAGTTAACCTCTCTGCTCTGAGGAGAGATGAAGAAAGACGCTCTAAACTGAGAAGGCAGATCATCAGCAGACAGACATTAAGAAATATCTAGTGATGTCTTTCCTTTAAAAAGTGCAAAAAATGGGACGAACAATCTTTGGTTCAGAATTGACAGTAACGAAGCAGAAAAACGTTCATTTGTATTGGTATGTCATGGTTGTCACCTTACAGAGCTCTCTTACATTTAAAGGGGACCTATTATGCAAAATGCACTTTTGGATATCTTTTAAACATAAATTTGTGTGTGAGACTCACAACGTTTCAGAAAATACAACCCTCTCTCTTTTCCTCCTTACCCACATCTCTAAAAAAACAAAAACGGGGGTGCAAACCATGGGGACGCCCGCAGCCCTGGTCTGGCGGAAACACTGGCTGGTGTGATTGGTCCAATATGGCGGACCAACTCGCACTTACGCAGTGCAAATCGGGCAGGCATGCAAATCGGGTAGTCACACCCAAATGTGCAGTCAGTGTGGCCCTGTCTGGAGGTGGGGGGGGAGGGTCTTAGGGGTTTTCTGTTTCTGTCTTATCATGTCATTGTGTATTTTGGTTTATTTTTGTTAATGCTATTACTGTAATGGTCTTTTTATGTTATTATCATTATTGTTTTGTCGTCTTTTTTGTATTTCTTTTTTATATATAGCACCTGCAATTGTACTCTGTATTTTCTCCTGTTGTTGTGCTACGTGTGGGAAAAACCAATTACCAGAAGAATACTGACACACTTACCATCCAAAGTGCCCTTTGCCATCACCTCCTTTACATCCTCCTCCTCTTCCTCCCCCCGGCCCTCCCAGTCTTCGGCTGTGGGACTCCGAGGGTCGGAGTGAAGGCACGTGAACTTTGACCTCCAGGTTTTGCTTCCTGGATGCTGCTCTGGTGTCTCTCTCCTCCTGCAGGAAGCCAACGAGCGCTCCTCTCCCTCAGGGAGCAGAGAGCGAGTCAGAGAAAGACGAAGACGAGGAAGAGGAGGAAGAGGAGGATCGTCCGGAGGCTTGTGAGCGCTGCGCAGATCCATGGTGTATACTGTATCCTGAATATAAAGCAGAAGATAAACTGGATTACATGACGATTGGTGTGTTTAACGAAGTATAAAGTATTATTTATTTATGTTACAGGTCTCAGATATATAGAGAACCTGTCTCTGATTGGCTGAAACACCAAACAGATCATTGCAGCATTACCCATAATCCCCTCTGTTTCAGCCCTGTTTCCAAAGTGCTGATTCTCTGTCTGTTACTTTAGATGAAAATAAGGAGCCCCTCCCCACGCCCCTCTGAGAGAGATTTGGTTACAAAGAACACTTTAGGTGCTTTCACACCGGAGTACTTTTCCCAGGAATAGTTCCGATAGTTCCTGGGAGGTTGCGTTCACACCAAAAAGATCCGGAACTAGAACTTTTTTTTGCAAACCTTTTACCCCCTTTTTAGTCCCTGCTAGGAGGTGGTACTTTCCTGGGGAGGAAAAAGTTCCAATTTCTATTGGCTGGGCGAATTGCAAACCACGCCCCGTAAAACTCTGAAACGTTTTGTGAAGCCGCCATTGTATTTGCTGGCATTAGCATTATTAGCATTAGCATTAGCCCCGCGCACCAACGGAGAGAGAATAACTTATGGCAACACAAAAGAAAACATGGGAGCGGTGGAGATGAGGAGGTGTCGGCGTTCTGGCGATTTACTCGGAAGGCTTCAGTAGAAGCTGCTGGGAGTCCCAGCAGCTTCTACTGAAGCCTTCCCCAACTCCGGGGACTTCCGGCCGGGGACTTTGGGTGGCAGTATACGCCGTGAAGTTGTTTGCGGCCTGCCAGTAAACCTAAAGCAGAAGAAGAAGAAGTGACGTCAGCGGCTTCATTTGCCTAATCCTCCCTCAGGGAACTTATTCCGGTGTGAATGCGATCAGCTCTTAGTTCCATGGGGGAACTAAGTACCGAAAAGTACTTGGTGTGAAAGCGGCTAATGGTGCTCTAGGAGGAGATTCAGGTGATAAGGTGGGGGGGGGTACACAAGCCAAAAAATCGTTATGACATCATAAAGTGATCAAAATCTGATCAGCTCATTTTCAGACAGGTTTTTATAGAAATGGATCAGGACAAAAAGAGAGAGAATCTTTGTTCCTGAAACTTTCAGAGTCTCTTTCCACAGAGGGGACACATGTTGATGTAGAAGAGACATGAAGAAGAGGGGACACATGTTGATGTAGAAGAGACATGAAGAAGAGGGGACACATGTTGATGTAGAAGAGACATGAAGAAGAGGGGACACATGTTGATGTAGAAGAGACATGAGGAAGAGGGGACACATGTTGATGTAGAAGAGACATGAAGAAGAGGGGACACATGTTGATGTAGAAGAGACATGAAGAAGAGGGGACACATGTTGATGTAGAAGAGACATGAAGAAGAGGGGACACATGTTGATGTAGAAGAGACATGAAGAAGAGGGGACACATGTTGATGTAGAAGAGACATGAAGAAGAAGGGACACATGTTGATGTAGAAGAGACATGAAGAAGAGGGGACACATGTTGATGTAGAAGAGAAATGAAGAAGAGGGGACACATGTTGATGTAGAAGAAACATGAAAAAGAGGGGACACATGTTGATGTAGAAGAGACATGAAGAAGAAGGGACACATGTTGATGTAGAAGAGACATGAAGAAGAAGGGACACATGTTGATGTAGAAGAGACATGAAGAAGAGGGGACACATGTTGATGTAGAAGAGACATGAAGAAGAGGGGACACATGTTGATGTAGAAAAGACATGAAGAAGAGGGGACACATGTTGATGTAGAAGAGACATGAAGAAGAGGGGACACATGTTGATGTAGAAAAGACATGAAGAAGAGGGGACACATGTTGATGTAGAAGACACATGAAGAAGAGGGGACACATGTTGATGTAGAAAAGACATGAAGAAGAGGGGACACATGTTGATGTAGAAAAGACAGGAACAAGTGGATTTTGCATAATAGGTGACCTAAGTCAGATTTCTACCTGCAGAAAGAGTCTTTTGGCTTTGGGTCCTTTCCTCCTGTGTCCCAATTGTTTCTCCTTCTGCTCTCTAAAAAAAACCCAATATATATATATAAATAATACAAACAAATAATAATAATAATAAATATATATAAACAATTAAATAAATAAGAATGAAATCACTTAATTCTTTTATTCTTGGGGCCTCGGACCAGAAGGGGGCCCCAAAAGAAGGTAGATTAAGAAGGTCCACAGCAAAGACAACATGAAACACCCTTTAATTTACTGCAACGACATGTCGGGAAACCCCCTCAAGGTGGCCCCATGCATAGCGTGCCGTAAAATGCTGCTTCTTATTTGAAGTTTTGTTGCCTTGCTCCACTCCAGGGGGGCGTGGTGGTGAAAAGCTGGTTCGAGGGGCCCCCAGTGAATGTTGGCCTAGGGCCCCCACCAACTCTAGGATCGCCACTGCTTATACGTTTACTGTTATTGTTGTTAGCCATTTAAAATAAACAATGAAATGAAGACTTGTGTTTTGGAGCCTTACTTCTCCTCGTAGGCCTTCACTAAGTGCTGATCCAGAATATGTTCCTCTGGTTCCCATGTGCTGTACCTGCGAGATGTGTCCAACAACTCCATAAATACAGTGTGTTTGACATAAAAAACAACATTTTCCATATTTGTTATGCAGCCACTGTATTTGTATGTGAATAAAAAACACATTTCCAACTCTCTCATTAGTTTTGAATGTGTAACTTACTTTGGAGGCCATCCTTTCCACTTCAACAGATACTCCACATTCCCCTGTGGAGACAACACATGTAATTTAGAAGCTAATTCCATAAATAACATCACAGAATATACCGTTTCTTGTCGAATACTGCATCTACATGTGAATTCATAAAAAAAGCAATAAAATAAATGAATTTTTAGTCATTAAAGGTCAGCTATCATGCTATTTGTAGGCAATAACATAGGTCTCATATATATAAAAATATATAAAAAACATGTCTATGAAGTGTTTTGCTCAAAATACCAAACAGATCACCCATTCTAGCCACGCCTCATATCCCTCTGTTTCACATCCTGTTTCAAAAGTGCTGATTTGGGTATAAAGCTTTAAAAAAAGCTACTGTCTAAACTAAATGCTGCCGTGATGAAACGCCATATCATGGATTATCAAGGATTCTCTCTGAAACAGTTTGGAGCTCAAAGGCTTTCTCTCTTGCCGGTTATACCACAAGGTGAGTTCCTTTTTACTTCCTGCTTCTTCACACACATGCTCTCCAGTACAGGTTAGCTCTGAGAGTTAGCGATGCTAATGTAAACACCGACCATATTACGTCCAAAACCGTCGGGCATTGTTTCTGATAGCAACGTTTCTGATTGGGCCGTGGGTCCACATTTCAGATATTACGTCATATCGGACGCAAATCTGGATCAGCTCCGTTGTAGCCCCGTTTTTAGAGATTTGGGTACGGAGGAAAAGAGAGAGGGTTTTATTTTCTGACGCTGCGTAAGTTCCCTGACACACCGGGGACACATGTTTATGTATAAAAGACATCAAAAAGTGCATTTTGCATGATAGGTCCCCTTTAAATGCTTCAAAATAATGCATATTTTACCATTAAATTATTGCGTTTTAATGGATCTTTGTGTAGGAGGATATTTCAAAGCCTTTCGAGTAAATCCACTTCCATAATGACTTTATTTGCACCCTTCAGTATTTGTTAGATGACGTTAAATGTTCCGAATGTTTCCCATCCACCAGCCTCTCCTCTCAGAGTTAGTCACCCTCGCTGACATCATCCCATAATACCTTCAGAGGGTGAAGTCACCACATTTCCCGACTTTGTCTTACTCACCCGGTGTTGCAGTCAAAAGGAGCAATATTGGGTGACACCTCAAATAAAAGTCTTCCATAACATGTAATGGAAATCATGTCATTTACTTGTACTCATAAAGCCCAAATATGATGCTCTCTGTGACCCCAAATCTTTTTTAAGACCCTTTCCATACATTTTAAGACCTCATCGCCACTTGGAGTTCTAACCGGTTACCTTGGCGACACACTTTACCTCACATTCACTATATACAGTATTGATTGTCCTTCCTCCTTATCTTCCAACCATTTGGACGCAGACTTGCATTTCCCCATAACGATGTTGTTTAGCAACCGGCGTAAACGGACCTTCGTGCGCTATCAAGCAGTGAGCGTGCGATGTCCTGTTCAGATGACGTCAAACCCAACGGGATGCCATAAATAAACTACACAGAATCACACTACACACCTACGCCATGATTACATTCAGGCAGACTGTAGAATACAACCTCTTTGGACCATTTATATACTTATTGGAAACAAGCTACAAAATGTAATACCTTGGAAAATGCTATTTAATATTTTTTAATCGCCTTAATTTTCGCTAAATTTTATCAACTTTTAATACTTTTTAAGACCCCGCAGACACCCTAAGCACAGCGCCACATGTTTAATGTTTTTAATGTTATGTTACCAGGCACATTATCTTTTAAGAGACTTCCTTGTAGTTTGTGTTGCTATAGTTTATATTTCTACTGATGCCAATTTGAAAAATGCTCTTAAGTTTTCTTGTGGAGCAAAATAGGCTACAACTGCTTTCATTATACAACCCTGTGTTGCAGAAACACATTTCCTTACCTACCTATATGTATGACTTATACATCTGTTCGCAGTCTACATATTTATTTATATAGTATTACAATACACAGAGTTTTATTCCATGTAAAGTATTTAATTGTACATGTTTATAGTTTACTTTCTGCATTTTATTTGCACCGTTGTTTCTCTTGCACTTCAATTTCTTCTTGCATTATTCTTTATTTACTTCTATGTCTTAAGTATTTTGTATATGTATGAGGAGCTCGGGACTTCATATTTCCAATGCCATAACTACGCTTTAGCTATTGTGCATATAACAATACATATAGCCTTTGAAATAAATGCAATTAAAACTTGAATAAAAGCTAGCCCGCCCTAACTTTGGATCTTAGATTAAGCTATAGTTTTGCATACTTCAGAAAGTCTCTAAACTACATTTAATAGTCATGCAATGTTAAATTAGAGGGGCCCTCATGCACTTTAAAGGACCCCAAATATCTAGCTGCACCCCTGCATGTGTCAACATATGCTAATTTAGAATGAACGCAACAAACAATCTGTTTTCTCCCAACACCTGACATGATAATCTGCATTCAACACATGAAAGAGACATCATCCTCAAACACTTAGATAACCAGATTACTGCCATTAATCTCTCTGCATTTCATTAGCATGCCAAGTAGCATTCTTAAAATAAGCTCCTAAATGTTGATAAATGTTACCTTCTTAACTCTTTTCTTCAGGATGCACTCCACAGCAAACACCTGCTCCCCTATAGCTGACAGCTCCATGTGTGTTACGTTTTCACCTGTCAAAGTAAAACCTCCCGGTGTGTACAGACCGAGAGAACCGGGAGATGTTAGCGGTGTTTAGGCTGTGTCCTCCCCGTCTATGGAGCGTTATTTTCGGGTCCGTTAACCTGCAGACCCCTCCGCCAGCTGGATGTTTCAGAACAGTGACTTTACAAAATCTGCGACACATCTGCACACCGCTCTGCGCGCTCCCGTGTCCGTATGCGCGCTCCCTTGTTTATAATGAGAACGAGCGCGCCACCAGCAGCCTCATGGTTCATTCAGGATGTAAGCAAAACATAAATAATAGAAATATAAAAATAAACTACATTAATTACTTAAAAAAAGACAAAGATTAAGGCGTAAAAATTCAAAGTTGTAAATTAAACAATAAAAAGTAAAAATTACTTTCAGAGGTGGAATAACAGTCTTTGCTTAAATAAAGAGTTACAAGTACAATTAATATTGAGTATAATCAGCTAAATGTATTTCAAGTATATTTAAAAACCTAGTTGTTATTGTTTAAACTGTTAGCTAGTTTAATAACAATTATATATAATTGGAAACATTTCAATTTAGATTTTTGAAGCTGTGTATAAAATGAAGTACGGTAAAACATGTAGTATTGTAGAAGTATAAAGAAACATAAAATACAAATAAAATACCTACAAATTGTTTAAAAGCACGAGTAAATGTTATACATTAATTCCTCTACTGAAATAAACTGAACAATAACCCTGTGAGAGCAAAACATGACGGATTAAATACAAACACACTGTCGTTTGTACATAAAGTGCCATTATAAGCATTTTATTTCTATGCAAAACATAAAAAAAATACAACAATATCAGGATTCCTTCAGTGGGAAGGGCTGAATGGATTGTCATGGCAACAAGAAAAGCACATGTTGAATAAATGCAACCGTGAGATATGATGTGAGTGGGTCCAAAAATCTCCAAAAGCAAATGAATGAAAACCTCTCTGATGCTTCACGTTGACATAACGCGACATTTAGAGGTTGAAGGTCCAAAAGAAACGACACAAAGCCCTTGGCTGCAAAAGTGAAAACATCATATTTAAATGATGTGATCTGATAAATTGGTGCTTTGGATTAAATCTCCTGATAAATGGCATCTTATTCTTTCAGAGCAACACATATATATTTGAAATGTAAACAAGTTAAGGCCAATATCGTCATTTAGACACAATAGAAATAACAGTTTCTCTTGAGCTGATTTGAAAGCTACAAACAGAGGAATCTCTCGTAAGGCTCTTTTCACAGAAATCCACCAAAAAAACCGTTCTTTTTTACATTTCTCTACACCTAGGCACACTGCGCTTCATCTCCTCCTAAATCCACTTTTCTAAAACGTCCTCTTGCACATTTGAGACCCTCGCTGAGTGTTTCAAAGTGTTTTAAAGGGGCCCTATTATACTCAGTTTCAGGTTTCATGTGTGTATGTAGTGTCTCTACTGTGACATGCTTTAATGCTCAAACATTTATCATACCCCCAAAAGCACGACAGGCCCTCTTTAAAAGTCAAAAATAACTCTCCCTGGGGCTGAACATTTTAAATTAGGTACGGTCAATGTGTCATTTTGTAAGATTACATTTCAACAAAAATAGAAACACTTTCTCTTATCACCCTCATTTGAAATATATTACATCTAGAACTAATTTCAGTCCAATCAGACATGAGTATCGTTAGCACAATAACCCCCAGATCTAGCTTTTGCAAAGTCATGCCAACTGTTTACATAAAGTATGGCACATTTCTGTGAGTTTGAATAATTAAGATAGAAGGTTTTTCTCCCTAATTAGATGTCTTCTTGTATTGTATGCAGTATAACTCTAATACGAGATGAACACCATAACTTTAGCCTTATTTCCTGTCCCCCTCTCTACTTTAGAGAAACCGTTTCAATGTGAACAATCACAGAAAACTGGATTAATGACGCCATTACTTCTAGGAAACTGAGTGAGAGATCCAGCAGAGCGAGTGCTCGGCCCGGGAGTTGCATTGCTCTGTTGCATAATATAAAACTGTGTTTGGAAAGTGGATGAAATACAAAGTTGGCAACGTGATGAATCACTCCATTTTGACCTGTGATGAGATGAAAAAAAGAGGCAGAAAGGGCACGCTTTGGTGAAAGTGAAGGACGGGAAACACGTCTGTGGAAACATGGCTGAAGCCGGGAGCGTCACTGCGGATAATCAGCATTTTTCATAAACTCCCATCACTTTGGAAACAGTAAAAAGAAACAAAAACTGACAATGAAAAATAGTCAATATATATATATATATATAAAAACACAATATTTGTATAAGTATGTTGTGAGTAAAGGACTGTGATTGTCCCTGTAAAGTGTTTGCTTCCTTCATTGCTTTGCATCCTCTCCGATAAAGAGTCCAGCAATGGCCGTGTAAACAAAACCTCAAAAAGAAAGGGAGGAGAAGAACATCCTGCATCCACGTGATTGGCTGTGCACGACTTCCTGTCCTGTGATTGGCCCGTTAAGAGCGGCAGGTTGAACCGTTAGCCGTCCGTCCGCCATGTTTGGTGCGCCTCCACTTCCTCTGAGACGACCAATAGGAGCTCACAGTTCTTCCCTCGCAGCTGCTGCCGGAGAAACTTCCTGCCATGAGGAAAAATAGCAACGCCATTTATTATTATGATAATAAAACCCCAAAGATCAACTGTTTTACAGAAATTCGTATAGAAAACACTACTTGAAAAACATTTATTTTAGGTTAAAAACCATAGAAACTTATATTTAACATTATTTTGAGTACATTTAGGACATGTATAGAGCACAAATATGCACTCTTAACAAATAATAGGAAAGATAATGACATGTTTTTAATATCTATACTGTATGCTGCATCTGTATAAAGGGATAGACCTACTTTAAAGACACTTATGGCGCATTTCCACTGCAGCGCGTAGCACGGTTTAAGCGTGCCGTGCCAAACCCGGCCCGTTTTGGTTGCGTTTCCACCAGGGGTAGTTCCGGCTAACGGGTGCTTTCTCACAGTTTTCTGGCCCTCCAAAATCGTCCGGCCAACAACCCGGCTGAATATGCTAAACTAGTGAGAGAATCGGTGGCAAGGGGGCTATAACTACAAGAAAATGAACATATTTGACCGTGATTTAATTGTAATACACGTTTCTAAATGATGCCGAAGTAACAACATACTGATACCGGTTAGTAAAAACCATGAATTAATGCAGGCGAAAAACCTTTTAAAATGCGTGTTTTCTAAAGCTAACGTTATATATGCTCCAACCGTCTACACTCACAACAACGACCTACAGACATAAATAAACCAGCGACTGTATTCGCCATGACACAGACAGTCTGTGGTTTGTACTTGTTTAACTTGTGTCTAGTTTCTGAACAGATATGAGGAGCTGTGAGCTCTGAGGGCTAACAGCTAACGGCTAATGTTGGTTTTGTGGTTCGCATTGAAGATGACATCACGGCTCCGCCTACACTGCGTTACTATAGTTACTGCCCCAGTTACTAAACTGTAATGGAAACGCAGCATAAAGTGAGCCTGGCCTACCAAGGCCTAACTATACCGTACTAAGCCGTGCGAGGTCCTGCAGTGGAAATGCGCCATTGGAGCCCCAAAAACACAACTGACATATAATCACTAAACACATTTTCCCTGTTACTATTCATTATTGGCCACATAGCTGAATATGCCGTTTTAGTGACAAACTTAGTATTTATAGTATCTCTTAATATCCCTAATGTCCAGTAGGGGGCGACTCCACTGTTTGAAATAAGACGTCTGATTGTATAGAAGTCTATGAGAAAATGACCCTACTTCTCGCTTGATCTTTTTACATTAGAAAACATTGTAAACCTTAGTTTTCTGGCCTGAATCAGTAGTTTAAAGACCTCTTTCATACTACATAATGTTCATTTTGTAAATAATGGTCCCACTTAGAGTAAAATAGATGATAAGGGTCCGCTTTAGGGCGGGGCTACCTTGTGACAGACAGGTCTCTACCATGATGTGGTCTCTGTTTTTGTCTCCGAACTGACTCAATTGTAAACCATTACATTTGTTTTCAGCCTAAGAAAGTTAAATTGTAACATTCTGGTTAATTGTTTGAATGGCTACGACCAATTTTTATATACAATATATGCTTTGTACAAAAGTTAGAAAGACACACAAAAAAAAATCACTAAAACACACAAAAGGGGCGGGGCTAACTTGTGATTGACAGTTCGCTACCACAGTGTTTTCCGTGTTGTCATCCTTGAACTTTTACCCCTTTTATAGTTTGTTTCCAGTTCATGAAAAGTAATTATAGCATTTTGTTGCCTAAAAATGTCTTTCCATTGTCTGGTTGTACTCAGCTCCAGGCTTTTGTGTCCCTTCTGGTTGCAAAAAAACAAATGTGGTGACGGCTGAAATGTCAAATTCAAGACTTCAAAACCAGAGTCTATAAACTGTCATGATGGCTACGTCTAATTCTATATAAAGTCTTGTCACAAAGGGTTACAGATCAACAAAATACATCTTAAAATGACCACCACCAAAAGCTCCTGCATGTGACAGATGAATCCTATTATACTGTTTTTCATCAATATATCACAGGTCTCAGATATATACAGAACCTGTTTCTGATTGGCTGAAACACCAAACCGATCATTGCAGCATTACCCATAATCCCCTCTGCCCTGTTTCCAAAGTGCTGATTCTCTGTCTGTTACTAATAAATAATTACTTGAGGAGCCAAAAAAACATTATGACATCATAAAGTGGCCAACATCTGATCAGCTCATTTTCAGACAGGTTTTTATAGAAATGGATCAAAAAGAGAGAGAATCTTTGTTCCTGAAACTTTCAGAGTCTCTTTACACAGAGGGGACACATGTTGATGTAGAAGAGACATGAAGAAGAGGGGACACGTGTTGATGTAGAAGAGACATGAAGAAGAGGGGAAACATGTTGATGTAGAAGAGACATGAAGAAGAGGGGACACATGTTGATGTAGAAGAGACATGAAGAAGAGGGGAAACATGTTGATGTAGAAGAGACATGGAGAAGAGGGGACACATGTTGATGTAGAAGAGACATGAAGAAGAGGGGACATATGTTGATGTAGAAGAGACATGAAGAAGAGGGGACACATGTTGATGTAGAAGAGACATGGAGAAGAGGGGACACATGTTGATGTAGAAGAGACATGAAGAAGAGGGGACATATGTTGATGTAGAAGAGACATGAAGAAGAGGGGACACATGTTGATGTAGAAGAGACATGAAGAAGAGGGGACACATGTTGATGTAGAAGAGACATGAAGAAGAGGGGACACATGTTGATGTAGAAGAGACATGGAGAAGAAGGGACACATGTTGATGTAGAACAGACATGAAGAAGAGGGGACACATGTTGATGTAGAAGAGACATGATGAAGAAGAGGGGACACATGTTGATGTAGAAGAGACATGAAGAAGAGGGGACACATGTTGATGTAGAAGAGACATGAAGAAGAAGGGACACATGTTGATGTAGAAGAGACATGGAGAAGAAGGGACACATGTTGATGTAGAAGAGACATGAAGAAGAGGGGACACATGTTGATGTAGAAGAGACATGAAGAAGAGGGGACACATGTTGATGTAGAAGAGACATGGAGAAGAAGGGACACATGTTGATGTAGAAGAGACATGAAGAAGAGGGGACACATGTTGATGTAGAAGAGACATGAAGAAGAAGGGACACATGTTGATGTAGAAGAGACATGGAGAAGAAGGGACACATGTTGATGTAGAAGAGACATGAAGAAGAGGGGACACATGTTGATGTAGAAGAGACATGAAGAAGAGGGGACACATGTTGATGTAGAAGAGACATGAAGAAAAAGGGACACATGTTGATGTAGAAGAGACATGGAGAAGAAGGGACACATGTTGATGTAGAAGAGACATGAAGAAGAGGGGACACATGTTGATGTAGAAGAGACATGAAGAAGAGGGGACACATGTTGATGTAGAAGAGACATGAAGAAGAGGGGACACATGTTGATGTAGAAGAGACATGAAGAAGAGAGGACACATGTTGATGTAGAAGAGACATGAAGAAGAGGGGACACATGTTGATGTAGAAGAGACATGAAGAAGAGGGGACACATGTTGATGTAGAAGAGACATGAAGAAGAGGGGACACATGTTGATGTAGAAGAGACATGAAGAAGAGGGGACACATGTTGATGTAGAAGAGACATGAAGAAGTGGATTTTGCATAATAGGTCCCCTTTAAATCCATAATTGATCTGAATCTCAACACACACACACACACTCACCTGACGTGGTCGGGCGCTCCGATTGGCTGAGGGCTGCGCAGCTTGGAGTCCAGGTTGTAGTAGACCCCCCCCACCTCCCTGACTCCCATCCAGTGCTGGCGTTTGAGCGGCAGCATCAGAGGACCCCAGCGCAGGTTAGATGGGACGTTCAGGATGAAGCCTGTCACGTTGGACAGCTCGATGCTGCCCACATCCCTGAAGGAGGAAAAGTCATTTAATATCAGAATCAGAATAAGGCATATCGTGATAAAACTTCAAAAATAAAAGCTCCAAATCAAACAGAAAATATATTGGAATAAGCCGATTTATAATATGCTGCTGTACCGATTATTTTCCCTTCTTTAATCAACTTTAATGTACATATTTGCTTTATGTCCAAATTACATTATAATTGTGTGGTTTAGTGCTGAAGTGATCCTATATTGGGAGACATTTTGACTGTCAGAGTTTCCCGTAAGCAATCAAATGCAACACAAAGTGAGGTATAATTACAACAATCATTACTTTGACCAAATCTAAAGCCCTACAATGACACATATATATATAATCCGTAATGACATTCTTCACTGTGTTGCATCAATCAGCTGTTACTGTCTCCAGATTAAGAGTCATTTTGTTCCTGTTGAGGACACAGAAACAGGAATAAGGCTCTGCTGATAACATTATCGTTTTACTGATAAAAGCGTCAGCTGTAAGACTGAGTGAGGGAAGCAGGAACGCTGACTAATCACAGAGATCATGCTAACGAGGACACTTTAAGACGTTTACCTCATGTTTACTCAGTGGGAGTCAAACCAACAACAAGATATGTTCTGCTGCTAAGGCGTCTCTTTAGCAAAACAACACAATAGTTTGTTGACATTATGAAACAGCGTGGGATCATGGGAGTTTTCGTCTGCACCACAATTGTCGTCATTTTCTCGTGGTTGGGATTTTATTTTCATACTGATAGTGGATTTATGCGCAGAGGTCTCCTTCTCTCCAAAACAAACGGACACAGAAGATAGTGCCTTTGCATATAAGAAAAAGTATTACTAATGAAGATCTTAATAATGTCCAGACATGAGTGTATGTATCTAAGGTACAAAAAGTGTAATTTTGTAAGCATATCTATTGTAATTTGTATTTTTTCAGTAAGAAATGAAGATAAAAACCCTAAAATAAGCTGTTTTACGTCAGAAATCTACGGAGCCCCTAAAGCAGTGGTCCACAAACTAAGGCCCGCCTCCACATTTGGCCCGGCCCCCTGAACAATACCAGAAACGCATTATGATTTATTTATTTTTTTTTTTCAGTCTGGCCACGCGAATCCTAGACTAGCCCCTGTCAAAATGTTGTGAGCTGCTCTATCGAAATCAGTCGCATTGACCCGAAGACACCTTTTGAGTTGTATACACTGTTGGAAAGAGGATATTCCTAGCTTTCTAATGATATCAGGATTGTTTTTGTTCTTCAAATATTAAGCGAAATATGTCACATTATATAATGACTATCACAGAGTCATCATTTTGAGAAAAAGGCCTTCAAAGTTGTCTCTTCTCTGGAATCCATCGATCTGATTGATTATTAGCAAATGATCAAAATACTACAGAGGGAAGATATTTTCGTTTAGAGGGGAAGCTCGCGAGTGTGTGTGTATTGATTGATTGATTGATTGAAAAGTTTATTAACAGCTTGTATATTGGCTCAAAACATACAATTGTTAAGGGGATGCAGACCAGAGAAAGACTTTCATCTTGTTTACATCAGTATACGTGTGTGTGTGAGTGTGTGTGCTTGTGTAATTTTGCGTTTGTGTGTATTGTGTTTGTTTCCCGGGGAAAACACTCACGAGAAACACCGGCTGTTGTTATGCCTGCCGTTCTCCGCTTGTAATTATGCCGAAGCTTCAAAGTTGTATTTATCTTCTGAATTTTGCCGAAACAAGTTTAATATTCTGAAAGCCAAGACTTTGTTTAATTGAAATCAGATGAAAACAAACTGTAACGGACCCTGCAGTGTTATCTATGATTACTATACTCTTACATTCATAATTTCAGCGGAGTGAGGGGGGGGCGGCGCTGCGGAAGAGCAGATTGCGAGTGAGAAATAAATAAATTGGAAATTAAAGTTTCATATTCTGAAAGCCAAGACTTTGTTTGTTTAAAATCAAACAAAACACCCGAACCCCGAAAAAATAGTTTTTTTTACGTAAATCCACGTTTATTTTGAGAGATTCTGCTCTGACAACTAAGCTAAACTTTTACCTGTTAAGATTGTGCACGGCGCAACAGAAAGTTACAGTAATTTTCAATGGACTTTTTTTCTGTGAAGAACCCAGAGAGGGTTATTTGGTTATTATTTATTTCATAAATAGTGTTATTTATTTCATTAATAGTGTTATTATTTATTTCCTGACTTTTTTTCTGTGAAGATCCCGGAAAGGGTTATTAATATTTGGTTATGTGTGGCTTTCTAGAAAACAATAAATGTTTACGTTTAGACACCCATGCGATCGTCACACTTTTTCTGTTACAAACTGACCCGGCCCCCATCAGAGAAGGGAAAAGTGATGTGGCCCTCACAGGAAAAAGTTTGGGGACCCCTGCCCTAAAGGGACATGGAAAAGAAAAAGAAGAGAGAAAAAAAATAAAGTCAGGAAAACGGATTCGTTTCTCGTGCGCACGAGAAACGAATCCGTTATCCTGACTTTATTTTTTTTGAGAAAGTTACCGATGCACCAAGGAGGAAGTGGAACACGAGACAACCATTTCATTGCAGACTGTTATGTTTACGTGGGGAAATGACAGTGCATACATTATTTGAGATATATTTTGAAGTCAGACTTAATTTTATGGACATTTCGGCCAGGTTTGTAGAGCTATTGGTTTAAGCACCGGACTGGCAAAAAACAGGAGAGTCTGTAAACCAGTCTGCTTTGAGCTATGAATTAATGTCCGTGACTCTCAGAGTACCTGCTGCCCGCAACAAACACACACACACACACCACACACACACACACACAACACACACCACACACACACACACACACACACACACACACACACACACACAACACACAACACACACACACACCAAACACACACACACACACACCACACACACACACCACACACACACACACACACACACACACACACACACACCCACACACACACACCACACACACACACACCACAACACACACACACACACACCACACACACACACACACACACACACACACACACACACACACACACACACACACACACCACACACACACACACACACACACACACACACACACACACACACACACACACACACACACACACACACACACACACACACACAGAAGTGGGCCGCCCGTTGACAGTTTACGTGGGCTTGGCAGGGTGCGATTCCCGGGCTGATTTTTAGTCCCAGTCCGCTGTTCAATGAAGGTAAACACAGTGTAGGCGGTGCGTAAAAGCTCTTTGAGCGCTGGTGCTGATCTTCTCTGAGTTACACGTCCCGCTGCCTCCGGAGTGACCACACACCCCTGGCCGAAATGTCCTTAAAGTGAAGTCTAAGTACGATATATATCTTAAATAATGTATGCACTGTCATTTCCCCACGTAAACACAACAGTCTGCAATGAAATGGTTGTCTCCTGTGCGCTTCACTTCCTCCTTGGCGCACCGGTAACTTTCTGAAAAAAAAAAGTGCGAGATACTTTCTGGTGAGCACGAGAAACTTTCTCGTGCTCACCAGAAAGTATCTCGTGCGCACAAGTTAGTATCTCGTGCACACCAGAAAGTATCTTGTGCGCACGAAATACTAACCCGTTATCCTGACTTTTTTTTTCTCTCTCTGTTTTTTTTTTTTTTTTTCATGTCCCTTTAGGGGCTCCGTAGAAATCCGTGTTTCTCCTACACCGTTTGGCTGCCTCGGATAACTTCCAGACGTCTAATGACTAAAATCCTACACGAGGATATAATATAAAGTAAAAAAAGACCAAGATCTTAAAAAAGTATGGTAGAAATGCAGCTTAAACTGTATATAAGGGCACTTTTTGACAGCTTCTGCAGGGGATACAACACTACTATGACAATAACAGATTTCCCTAGTGTTTGAATCATTAGGGAAAATGTAGGTAGAGAAACCGAAAATATATCGCAAAGGTCTAGTCGTTTTTATAAATTTTAAATGCCGAAAAGTTACATATGATATGTATTAGTTGATGGAAGTTTCCCGCCCGTCTTACCTTCTTTTATCCCACCAAACGGCCTCGAACCCGCGGGTCTGCAGCGCCGCCATGATGACGTTTACATCGTAGTTCCCGTTTCCCAGCATGCTCTTCTTGTGCGGCGTCACCAGAGTGCTGGGAGAAAGCCTGTCGACAGAGAGAGAAATTAGGAGATTATAAACGTATATAAATACACAGAAGAAATATTGACATAATGTTTCCCTCAACTGTGTTACCCTATTTCCATTTCATTGTTAAAACTGTTTGAAAATATGAATAGTCTGACCTTTATAGCCATATATCAAATAAGTAGAGACCATTTTTAAGCTTTGATCAGTCAACAATCACATGTAAACAAACGTATGTACTGCAGCTTCCCTTACACACTGTCGCATGCAGGATTCATACAAGTGGACGATACTAGATCTACAAATACTAAAACTTCTCTCTGCTTTGCAAAGGATTGTGGGATAGAGATGTGACCAGTAGGACACCCTGGTATTTACGGCACACTATGCATTGGGTATATTAAAACGTACGGTAGTTTGGGTTTTGAAACACAGGGAAAATGCATTGAGAGATTAAGTCTTCTTTACAAAATGTAGATTTTTTTAAAATTGCATTTGTTTTGTTAGAAACTGGAGAAATTGAACATGACACTTATTATTAATTAGAATTCAATCCAGTTACCGGGGAAGAGTCTAATCGGCTCTGTGTCCCTGAATAGCCTCAACATCCTCTGGGTCAGGCAGACTCCATGTTTTTAACAGCGCCCGTAAAACAAGCAACTTATTTTGCGTAACTTTAGTTAAACTCTTTTTATGGAATGTAACGGATATTAACAGAACAACGCACAACATTTCGGGGGGACATTTCTGGAATTTAGGGAAGACTTAGAAGGAAAACACCATGCTCCTTCTTAATCTTTCTTTAAAGCTCACCTATCATGCTATTTTTAGGCAATAACATAGGTTTCAGATATATAGAAAAATATAAAAAACATGTATATGAAGTGTTTTGCTCAACAACAAAAAAACAGATCATCCATTCTAGCCATGCCTCATATCCCTCTATTTCACTTCCTGTTTCAAAAGTGCTGATTCTGGGTATAAACAGGTCTCTTGAGAACGAGACCCTGTGTCTCAATGAGATGTTCACCTGTATAAATAAAGGCTAAATAAAAAATAAAGCTTTTTTTGTTTTTAAAACTGAAACAAATTAAAATAAGAGGGGGCGGAGCTTATGCCAGCTCATGCGGGACCTGGCAGATACTGTCTAAAATGCTGCGGTGATGAAACGCAAGGATTATTAGATCAAGGATTCTCTCTGAAACAGTCTGGAGCTCAAAGGCTTTCTCTCTTGCCGGTTATACCACAAGGTGAGTTCCTTTTTACTTCCTGCTTCTTCACACACATGCTCTCCAGTACTGGTTAGCTCTGAGTGTTAGCGATGCTAATGTAAACACCGACCATATAACGTCCAAGACAGTCGGGCATTGTTTCTGATAGTAACGTTTCTGATAGGGCCGTGGGTCCACATTTCAGATATTACGTCATATCGGACGCAAATCTGGATCAGCTCCGTTGTTCCCCCGTTTTTAGAGATTTGGGTACGGAGGAAAAGAGAGAGGGTTTTATTTTCTGACGCTGCATGAGTTCCCCGACACACCGGGGACACATCTATATGTATAAAAGACATCAGGAAGTGCATTTTGCATGATAGGAGACCTTTAATATCCTACACAAATTTGAATCTCAATATAAAGTCATATTCCCAAAAGCATGGAAATACAGTATATCCCCCTATTAGATTGTGAACATATTCTTACCCAAGAGACAAAACAATCGATACTTTAAACTACTCCTTTCTTCCAATTCCAACCTTATCCCAGTTGTGAAAAAATTCATTTTACACAACTTTTCCCACACATTTCGTGCCCCTGGTAACCCCGGCTCTCCCACCTCTGGTAGATCTCCTGCAGGGTGTCCCTGCTGAAGGCCGTGCCGTCCTGGAAGACGTTGTTCAGGGCGTGAAGGGCGCACAGCTCCCGCCGCTGCTTCTCGTGATAAATGGGCAGGGGGGTCAGAGGGGGAGGAAGAGGAGGGGTGAGGGAGGAAGAGGAGGACGAGAGATCCTGCTGAGGGTCCGTGGGATCCCTGCACCTCAAAGAGCCAAATATTAAAGGCGTTATTGTCATGTTATGCACAGCTATAGCAGTCTGGCAGCACTGTGAACCCAGAAATGTTGAGTAGTCCTAAGTTTTATGATAGAAATGTATAGCAGGGGTCCCCAGCACATAGAAACTGCAGGATGATATCTTGCATATGTTGGGCAATTTGCACAATTAACACAAGTTGCATTAATTAGCAATAAAAAGCAATTGAAGACAATAGTACAAAAAAATGGCTTGTTCGATTTGGAACATTTTGGAGTAGTTCTGGGGGTTATTAAGTCAATTTCTGACATTTTCAGGATTTAAAATGACAGTTTTAACCAGATAGTGGCCATACATAGGGCGAAGCCTGCGAGCTAGTTCAGGCAGTCAACTCGAGCACCAAATCATACATTAACACGTGACGCGCCTCGTCCCTCTTACAAACCAACCAAACACATTCTCCTTAACTTGCCGCTCTATTTAAGCTGCCAGGTCTTCCTGCCTCTGCCTCGCTGTGCTGCCACTGCTGTGTTCACTTGCTATTGCTACGTTCATCTTCCTGCTGCTGTGTTTCATGTTGCTGCTGCTCGCCTGCCCCACCACCACCCCAGCTTCCACCCCAGCTTCCACCCCAGCTTCCGCCCCAGCTTCCGGCCCAGCTTCCGGCCCAGATTCCATCCCAGCTTCCGCCCCAGTTTCCGCCCCAGCTTCCGCCCCAGCTTCCACCCAGCTTCCGGCCCAGCTTCCGCCCCAGCTTCCACCCAGCTTCCGGCACAGTTTCCGCCCCAGCTTCCGCCCCAGCTTCCACCCAGCTTCCGGCCCAGCTTCCATCCCAGCTTCCGCCCCAGTTTCCGCCCCAGCTTCCGCCCCAGCTTCCGCCCCAGCTTCCGCCCCAGCTTCCGCCCCAGCTTCCGCCCCAGCTTCCGCCCCAGCTTCCACCCAGCTTCCTCCCCAGCTTCCGCCCCAGCTTCCTCCCCAGCTTCCGCCCCAGCTTCCGCCCCAGCTTCCCCAGCCAGTGATGAGGCCGAGCCTAGATGCCAAACTCAAACTATATGCTGCTTCTAATAGACATATTAAGAAACACGTGAGTTGTCGGACTGAATTGTGATCAATTTTAAATCAGAAACGGGTTTATTACCAGGTGGGTTGACACGTACGAGGAATTTGACTTGGTGTTGTGGTGCATACATACAAGTAAAACAAAAATTAAAAACACAGATAGTGAACTATTTTAAGAGGAGGACTCAAAACTGAAATGTTGGACCCTTAAACTGTCAAATAGATTCAACATCCTCATTATACCTCAAAAGCCACGCCAAGATTGTCCAAAGCAGCCTACCATTTTTTCGCTGTTGTCTACATATGCTAATTAACAGTAAACTTATGCTAACCTAACCAAGTTAGCATCCGACAGTTTGTAATTACTGGGGACCCATCCTAAACATTTCTACCATAAAACTTTGGGGTACCCAACATTTCAAGGTTCACACTGCTGGTGATAGAGAAACATGATTACCTCCTCTCCTCTGCTGCCTCTCTTCCTCCTCCTCCTCCTCCTCCTTTCTGCTTGCTGACCTTCCAGCGCATGCAGCCCAGCTCCTGAAGGCCTCCTCTCCCCTTCCCCTTCCACTCCCCCGCTGGATATGGAGCGCTGCCCATCCCCAAACGTTCACCTCCTCCTCCACCTCCAACACCTCCTTCTCCTCCAGCTCCACAACTACCAGCTTCACGACGCTACATCAGCATGGGAGAAAGCCTACAACAAATTAACAAAAAGAGAGAAATTAACAGATTGTGTACAAGATGTCATAAACACAAGCTCAATATTGACATACTACTGTATACATTGACATCATACAGGGTTCCCACACATTTTTACTAATAACTTTTCCATAATATGTTATTTGTACTGTTACATGCAGTATTCATATAGTTAGGACTAGATCTTCTTATCCTTCTATCTGCTTTACAAAGGATTGTAGGCCAGGATAGCATGCTGCTTTCTGCAAAATGACCAGTATGACATCCTAGTATTTATGGTATACTGCATTTAATGTACTACTTTTTGGGTATATCCAGAGGTGGGAAGTAGTGGAGTACAAATACTTTGTTACTGCACTTAAGTACATTTTTCTGGTATCCGTACTTTACTCCACTACTTATTTTTCTGAGGACTTTTTACTTTGACTTCTCACATTTTGAACACAAATACCTGAACTTTCTACTTCTTACATGTTGAACTCAAATACCTGTACTTTCTACTTCTTACACGTTGAACACAAATACCTGTACTTTCTACTTCTTACATGTTGAACACAAATACCTGTACTTTCTACTTCTTACATGTTGAACACAAATACCTGAACTTTCTACTTCTTACATGTTGAACACAAATACCTGTACTTTCTACTTCTTACATGTTGAACTCAAATACCTGTACTTTCTACTTCTCTCATGTTGAACACAAATACCTGTACTTTCTACTTCTTACATGTTGAACACAAATACCTGTACTTTCTACTTCTCACATGTTGAACTCAAATACCTGTACTTTCTACTTCTCTCATGTTGAACACAAATACCTGTACTTTCTACTTCTTACATGTTGAACACAAATACCTGTACTTTCTACTTCTCACATGTTGAACCCAAATACCTGTACTTTCTACTTCTTACATGTTGAACACAAATACCTGTACTTTCTACTTCTTACATGTTGAACTCAAATACCTGTACTTTCTACTTCTTACATGTTGAACTCAAATACCTGTACTTTCTACTTCTTACATGTTGAACACAAATACCTGTACTTTCTACTTCTTACATGTTGAACCCAAATACCTGTACTTTCTACTTCTTACATGTTGAACACAAATACCTGTACTTTCTACTTCTTACATGTTGAACTCAAATACCTGTACTTTCTACTTCTTACATGTTGAACTCAAATACCTGTACTTTCTACTTCTCACATGTTGAACACAAATACCTGTACTTTCTACTTCTCACATGTTGAACACAAATACCTGTACTTTCTACTTCTTACATTTTGAACACAAATACCTGTACTTTCTACTTCTTACATGTTGAACACAAATACCTGTACTTCTACTTCTTACATGTTGAACCCAAATACCTGTACTTTCTACTTCTTACATGTTGAACACAAATACCTGTACTTTCTACTTCTTACATTTTGAACACAAATACCTGTACTTTCTACTTCTTACATGTTGAACCCAAATACCTGTACTTTCTACTTCTTACATGTTGAACTCAAATACCTGTACTTTCTACTTCTCACATGTTGAACTCAAATACCTGTACTTTCTACTTCTTACATGTTGAACTCAAATACCTGTACTTTCTACTTCTTACATGTTGAACTCAAATACCTGTACTTTCTACTTCTTACATGTTGAACTCAAATACCTGTACCTTCTACTTCTTACATGTTGAACTCAAATACCTGTACTTTCTACTTCTTACATGTTGAACTCAAATACCTTTACTTTCTACTTCTCTCATTTTCCAAACAGCTGGTTCCTTTAGTCTGAATGTGTGTTTGATGCGTGATCATTATTCTTTAGAGTCATTGCGTGCCTATTGATTTGAACACGATCCGTGTATCCATCATTTCCTGGTCTTCTCTAAAGAAGAGGGACCAATGGAAACGTTGTCATGTTGCCGTTGTTCAGCATGGAAACATTCATTAGCTAACAATGACATTATTGTTCTATTAATATAAAGGGAGGTCAGGTACTCTTTAAAACAGCTGCTAGCTATGGGTACTTTTTACTGAAGTACATTTCAAAGCCTCTTTACTTTCACTTGAGTAAAGAAGTTTAGTCAGTACTTTTTTAAACACGAGTACCTGTACTTCTACTTGAGTAAAGGATGTGTGTACTGTTGCCCTCTCTGGGTGTGGTAGTTTTGGTACCTAAACGCATTTACAACGCACTGAGCGATTCTCTACCAAATCGACTATATCTTGCCTAATTCTGAGCAGATTTTTTAATGAAATTTGGTTAACTACCAGCTTCCGACGCTACATCAGCATCATGGCAACCATTACCAGAGCAACCTCCCAGCCGAGAGGAGCGGGGGGGGGGGGGGTGTAACACCTGCTCTCTAGACGTGGAGAAAAGGTCAACAGGAACTCAAGATGATGGATCTGCCAGCTAACAAAGATGCTCCCGAAGCGAAATGACGATTACTCCACAAAAGAGTTGTGTGTTTCCACTTCCTCCATCTCCGGCTTGCAGCTGTTTCCATACGAGACTAGAGATTTGCAGGTATTTCCATCGACCAGGAGGGGTGGGTTCCACTGGATTCAACAAGGATTCGATGCTTGGAGAGTCAAAGAACCTGAAAAAGACAGAAAGAGAATCTGTGTTATTAGGATCTGCTTCAAATATCTAAAACCAACCAGAAAACAGGAACTCTCGCTTCTTTTAAGTCAAGACTTTTCTATTTTATTTGGATTAAATCAAACAATTATTCATATTTTACACAGCACTGTAACTTTGATTGTTGTATTTTAAACTTTATTCTATTTTAGCTTGACTTCATTTCTATTTTCTTGGCTTTAAAAAGGTATTTAAATGTATTTTTATAATGCATTTATTTTGTTGTAATACTTTAATATATAATGTTTTCTATAAGTTCTATATACATATTTTTTTACATATCTATTTACATTTCTTTTTACAATGTGTTTCTTTCACAATATGTCTTAAAGCTATTTTGATAAGCTTGCCTTTCTTTTTACAATATTGTATTTAAGCTATTTTAAATAACAGAAATTGGTCACAAATCCCCACCACATGTTAGCAGAGCTCAAAATGACACCCTAACTGAGTCTGATTAGCATTTTAACACCTCAAAAACACTTCAAATCACCTCTTATTTGAATTTAAACTGGTTTTAGATATCTGAAATGACAGTACAGGCTGGTTACAATCTCCTCCTGTTCAGCAGACCCTTAAAAGAGAAGGTAAACATTTCTAGGACTGGGTAGAGGAAGCAGTCTGTTCAGTAAAAATAGCCCTAACAATTATCACAGCGATCCTACAGTCCATTAACAGGGATTAAACACAAACATAACACATGCTTTTAATCCATGATACTAACAGATATGTAGCAACAATCCTCAGGCTGCTTTACGTGACTACAGCAAACACAACCACAACGCTTCCTTTATGCCTTATAACTTCATTTGTTCAGCAGAAACACTCACCTGTCCGCTTCCTGGTGGTCCTCGAACACCTTGGCTATTATAAACCGGTGTAAAAACTCAATATAGTGTCTCCTGGTTCTGTAAATGTGTCTCAGTCCTTTGTCTTTGCCAGTTTTTCCTCAATTCAGCAGCTATCTGTCTGTTTCTGGCCGTGCACACGCGGACATGCGCAGAAACAACTCCTCCTCGAGCTCCATGTTGCTGTCAGCGCGTGCGTCAGTAGACAGAGGAACCTCCCAGCCAGCGGATTAACTCACCCTGCTGGAGAGGGCGTGTTGAAACCATAGACTGTGGTTGAAACTGCATTTAAAGTAAACTGGGTCTGTGCACAATGCAACACAGAGAGACTATGAAAGGAAGTGAAAAGAATATAAACTCTACATAAATGCACTTATTATGACCACCATTTTTATTACTGGTACTTCAAAAAGGAAATTAACTCAATATGTAAAATATGTAAAGACTAAACCCCTATTAGTTTATTCCCCAAATTAATTGGATTTGTATCTGTTATTATTTGTTTTTAATCATTGTTTATTTTTTACATTACGTTATTTATTTATTTAGCTTTTTCTGGTTGCTGTTGTTTAAAAAAGTAAATTAAAATAACTTAAAAATATGATCACCATTTGACCACACCCCCTATTTCCTTCCCCCCTATATTTATTCTTATTTGTTTTATTTGTGATTATTGTTCCTTGTTTCAGTTTTGTACTTAAATTATTTATTTTTGATCTTTGTGAGCTTTTTCCCATTGTTGTCGTCATATTGTCATACTGTCTATGTACATATAGACGCAGTGCTTCTCAAAGTGTGGTCCGCGGACCACTGGTGGTCCGTGAGTATATTGGTAACATTTCACATTTGAAATTAATTAATCAATTGAAGTTTTCCGCACTCTCGCGGGAATATCTCCACAATGGAGCAATGTTAAGTTTCCCTTTCGATTGCATGATATAGCCCAGCGCAACACCTTCATCACACATGTTACCACTTGATTGTACCATTTTCAGGCGATTTGTAATCTGTTCTAGAAAAACGATGTGTTTTTTGATATTTGTGGAGTTAGGTGGTCCGCGAGTGTTTATTTATTGGTTAAGTGGTCCTTGGTATGAAAAAGTTTGAGAAACACTGATATAGGGTATACATATGTGATCTGTTGACAATATGATGTAGAAAGCAGCAACATAAATGCAATCTATGAAATAAATCTATGATAGATTTTAATTCAATTTAAGCGTCTCCATATTAAAGTTAATTTCCTGGTCTAAATGCTGTTTCAGATTCCTCTGGAGAGAAGCAGAGGAAACACTGAGCAGTTCATTCCCCCGATCATCTTTAAAGTTTTATATCTTATGAATTATGAAAGGTATGTCGACACAGGAACAGTGGAGGAAACACACAGGCCTTATAAAAGAAGATACACACATCAGTGAATTAAAACACATCCGAAAAATGAAATAAAATGTATGTTTGCATGATATCTTATTTCTTTTATTAACGTCTTTTGTTTGACATTTACATTAAAATAACATGACATTAGTACAACTACACATCGTACGCTATAATGCATTTTAGAAAAGAAAAGAGAAAATGCATCCACCTCAAAGTAACGGGTAACATAGACCTTCATAGAAATGCACTGGAGTCAAAAATACAATATTTGGCGTAAAAGCAACAAACACATATGTACTTAATTCGAGGACTTAAGAAAATGCATTGTGTTACTGTCCACCTCTGCATAGACATCTTATTTAAAAATATCTTAAAGAGACCCTATTGTGTTTTTGGGGGGTTTTCCCTCTCCTGCTGTGTTCTATAGGTTTCTGTGCATGTAAATGGTCTGCAGAGGCTAAAATCCCCTGTGTTCACTCCATTGAACCTGAAAATGAGCCCCTTTGTCACTATTGTGTCAATATTGAAAGTTTTGCTAATTTGGAAGAAGCCCAGTGTGATCTATTCAATAAAGCTAGGTAATAGATCTTGTAAAAAGCAACATAAGCAAAGTGAAGTTGTCACTGCATCTTCGCAAATGTATAATGCTGCAAAGATGGATAGCATCCCATAAGCAATGATGCAAATAGATGTTAGATGTGGGCGTGATATCTAACTGCGGCATGTTGAGAAACCAGAAGGCGACCGGCGGTACTAAATTCATTCGGACAGAGGTGAACCAGCACTGACAAAAATACTCTCGGTGAAGCATCACCCTTGCACTTAAAGTCAAAATTGCATGTTTAACACCTGACTGACTGACTGACCGAACACACACACACACACACACACACACACACACACACACACACACACACACACACACACACACACACACACACACACACACACACACACACACACACACACACACACACACACACACACACACACACACACACACACACACACACACACACACACACACACACACACACACACACACACACACACACACACACACACACACACACACACACACACACACACACACACACACACACACACACACACACACACACACACACACACACACACACACACACACACACACACACACACACACACACACACACACACACAATATATAACAGAGAACTATCATATATTGATGAAAAACAGTATAGTCAGGGACCTTTAATACTCATGAGGCAGTTTCTCGGCCAGTACAGAGGTCATGTCATTGAGCAGCTCCTCCCTGATGCTCTCCTCTCTTTTCTGCAGCTCGTGGACGAAGTGGCCCTCGTTCTGAGACTTCACCTCCATCAAAAGCTCCATCACCTGCCTGCGTATCTTCTTCAGCTCCTTCGGGATCGTGTTTTCCTCGATCCGGAGCCTCAGAAACTTCCTAACAGCCATATCATTGAAATCTGGATTAGGTAATTCATCCCGGTGGTCTGGCTGGATGAGCACTGGGATGATGAAGCCTGCTGTCTCTGCTCCAAACGTATTGATGGTGGTTAGGATCGCATGAATTATATCATGGTCGACCCCAGGTTTGGAGCCCGATGCTTGGACCACCAGCAGGAAGGCGTGAGGTCCCGGGCCGCACAGCTGGAGGCTCCTCAGAGCTTCTCTGGCTCTGATCTCCGGCACCAAAGAGGTCCCTAAAACATCCGGGGTCTCCACCACTACCACCTCTCTGCCGTCTATCACTGTGGATCTCCTGGTGCTCTCCATCAGAGGGCCCTTGGGTGCATGTTTCTTACTTTTGCCCAACAAAACGTCTGCAAGAGAGGTCCGTCCTCCCCATGTCGGCCCCAGAATGATCAGCCTCAGCCCCGGTTTACAGGCGCCGCTGCTGCTGGGCTCCATCTCTGACCCTGCAGAGGATTTTATAAGATGATTAATAAAGAGCCGCAGGAGAGAGTGCAAAAACCTGGAAAGTAGTTAGTCTTAGATGTGGTCTACACTCACAAAAGTGGCGTTATTGGTGAGATTATTTTACTGAACAAATGTGTAAATATCATACGTTCTGAGATAATCCAAAATCCAATGGAAAAAACCTATTGGCTTCTTCTGGGGGGAAACCAGGGAGATGCTAACTTCCAGGTTGACTTAAGTCATCCCAGAAAATATGGATTTTTAGCCCAAATGGGCCAGAGTAAATTAGTTTTACGTTAAAATATCAGAAATTCAACAGGAAAAACCAATAAAACGCATTAAAATGTATCAAAAAATGAAGGTGAACTCACCTAAGATTACAGCAATCAGCCACTTGAACTTGGAGGAAGATGCTGATGGAGAAGCAGATTTAATTATAGGCTTATAATTATCATGTAGCTTGAGCACTAACATACCCTCACTCCACTCAAACTGCTGTCAGCTGCTGCATTTCTGAATCACTTCCTAAAATAACATCCATTTCAAAACTGAACATCTGTTTATCTTTACTAAAAAAGGACCATCTGAATCCCTCAATGCAGAGTATCCAACACCTGTTTGAAACGTCATGCTAAGCTATTAAGCTAATGGCATGTAAAGCCACAGAGAACACTTTTTTTGAAAGTCTTATTGGCAATAAACTTGCTAAATAAACAAAATAAAAAAATACAAATAATATTAAAATAATACAAATATATATATAAAAAAAATACAAATAAATAAATACAAATAATAATAAAAACAGGTATATTAAAAATGATGAATACAAAATGATAAAGAATTATAATAATAAAGAATAATAATACAAATTATAGTATCGTCTTTTGCAGGCAACTTACATCCTATGAAACGCCAAATTCGAGACAGCCATTTACACAGGCCCTGGATTCCTGTCACACAAAAACAAAATAGCACATTCATTTTTTTATTTTGGAGCTGAAACGTTGGTATTCCTCTGGTTATAATACACTTGATTACGTACCACGAAGGGTTCCCACTAGATGGCTCACCCAGCTCCACAGAGTTGACACTCCTAAAGCAAAAAAACACATATCCATTGATACAAATGTCCAATTATAAACACAATAAATAACCGTATACAAACGGGACAAAGTGACCTCTGACCTCTCTGTGACTGAACTCACCCGTTAGGGAGCAGAAGATACGAATCGGCCACCTGATCAGAGCCGGCAGCGCTGCAGAGGAACAGAAAACGATCAGCGTTGAGGTCAGCGTTGATCCACTGGTGGTTTGGCTGACCATTTGAAAAGTAAACCAGCTGTTGTAGAAATGTGTGTTTTGGATCAGTAAGTGTGTGCACATGACAGGCCGGTTAAATCATTGACACTGTCACTAAGCTGCTCTTATATCAGGAGTGTCTGGTCTGATGAAAACCATTTGTTAATTATTCACCAAAGTTTGATCTGCTATAGATTTTAGAGTATTGACATGTCCGAGGGCACTGTTTCACTGATTTGATTATTGCCCATTATAAAACAGCAATGAAATGGCTGATGCTATACTCATATATATGCAGAAAATTATAATGTTATTTTGCAAATCAGCATACATTATGATTTTAAGAAAGTCCCCAAAGAGCCTCCGTACTTTCTAGTTTCCAGAGTTGTTCATGAAGCCATGTCCCATCAGGGAAATAACACAGCTAACATAACAGGTATATGAACGTGTGTGTGTGAGACTGACTCTGAGAGAATCTGTAGAGAAGATACCCGACCACAGTGAAAGTTCCCATCTGCATGTTCCACCAGCCTAAGAGGGAAACACGACGTCAGTTATGTTGCACAAACTATTAATTAATAATGCAAAT